ACCACGTGCGGCGGTGCTAATCAAAACATTATTAACTACGCCATATACTATTTACAACTTTCAAAATGAGATTCTCAATTTGTCTATAATATTGTTTGTGTGTGCATGCGTCGGTGCGTGCGTGCGTGCGTGCGTGCGTGCGTGCTTACATGACAGTGTGTGTGCTTTGTGCGTACGTGGATGTGCACCTGAGCGCATGTGCTTGTGTGTGTGTGTGTGTGTTCTTTCTTCAGTCAATGTGGTTTACTGCGTTGGTGCCATAATAATTTTTTTACGTTTGAACTACTCAACAGTCATCGTTTTTCTTTTCGGACCAAAAAGCACAATCTCGCGTCGTTATGAGCCCACCTTCGGTTTATTCTGGCGAGACACCAGTGAGGAATGATAGGTAAAGATCAAGTAAGGTCAATTGGCCCATACCCATCGCATTAAACTACAGCGGAAACCCACCTAACCTGCGGGTATAAGCATTGAGTCTCACCAATTTCCTTGTCTCGCTCCGAAAAGAAACAATGCATATCTTTACTTGATTTCCGCATACAAATATTAAGAGTTATCTAAATTGTGTGTGAAAATTATTTTAATCTGCGTTCAGACCTTTGACATGACAGTCTCCATTTCTACTACTCATGTATGTTTATGAAATATAATATTTGCTGATAACAAAAATTATTTTAATATTATCATTATTGTGTCGTAGTTCGTTGTCCATCTCTAATTCTGTTGGAGAGATTTGACGAATGCCAGTTTTTATATACGAGTAGATAGGTATTTAACTAATTTATTTTTGCATGTAATTTTTTTATACCACTGTGGTGGCAAACGAGCATACGACCCATCTGATGGTAGGCGATTACCGGAGTCTATGAACGCCTGCAATACCAGAGGCATTACGCACGTATTGCCAGCCCTGAAAAATGTAGAATGGTAACCACGCTAGTGCTGTTAGTTTTGACTGGCTGGTGATGCCAGTGAGATTTTTTTTTTAATGTAATCATCCATATTCTATTATCAAATAGAATAATAACCTTGCTACCGCTAACGGTATACGCTGGTAGGGCATTAGTGAGGGATAATAGGTGAAAATGAAAATGTAAGTCAGGTAGCCCTGATACACCTGTAATTTAGCACGATAATTTTTAGGAGAGACCACAGAGAGGTCGACTTGACAGTGTGTATTGGTAACAATAATAATAAAAATTTATTGCACATAATAATATACAATTATGGGATACAGAAATTAAGTTAAATATATAATTTTAAAATATATAAGTTATATATAGGATGCCGCAACTGTTATGGGGACCTTTGGGTCGGATCATGAATGGGACTGATCATTAAATTATATATTATATATATATATATATATATATATATATATATATATATATATATATATATTCGTGCAATTTTGGCACATTATCATACATAGTACAAACTTCAATAAAAACATGTTCCATGCTACTTAAATAAAGTATCTTTAATTTACAAATGTGTATCAAATAAATATGTTTTATACCAATATGAACTAACACTACTAACTGTAAAACAGGTGTCGTGCGCTGCATTGTTTAACTGGTCGTTAGTACAGTATGTTATAAAAAAATAAATCAGCTGACACTATATAATAATAATAAGAGAGTATATAACCTAGTGACGACCTGAAATGCATTGCAGGGAGTCAGTGGGTGCAGGTGGCTCGGGACCGTTCTTTATGGCAGTCTATGGGGGAAAGGAATTGTTAGTAATGGGGTCTGATATCCCTATAACTAGCAATACACACTCTCAGGTCGACCTCCACGCGGTTCCCCTGGAAGCTATCGTGATTAATTCTAGTGGAATTCGTCACAATTGGCTAACTAACCTGCTTTTTCATCCTCACCTAACATCCCTTACTGGTGACCCGCTAGCGTGTACCAATAGCGCAGACGGGGTTACCATTCCATTATCACACATTAAAGAAATATGGATACCGATCTGATATCTATATATCGGGTTCCTCTGGACATTGACGGCGGAAAAAAGATCATCACCCATATTGATATCGCCCATATCGGTCGGATATTTATTTGCGAATATGTTAAAAATCTGTTATTCAATACTATATTTTTGATAACAGACTTTTAACATATTCGTTCATTTAACCAAAGGACGACTTTGTACAAAAGTCGATTGCTTGAGTACCTCTGTCTCATTCGTGTTTCAACCGTGATGCAGTTGTGTTTGCATGGCTTTGTTTCGGTTTGAACGGCGTTTCGGCGTGAATTTATTGGGTACAGAGGAATAACATCTGAGTCCTCAGGAATGGCAACGCATGGGGGGTATCATGGGCGAAACAGTATACTCTGTTATGTCCATGGTACTGCTCATGTCTATAGGCGACGGTTACCACTTTCCATTAGGTGAGCCGTCACCTTGTTTACCATTCTAAGTAGTATAAAAAAAAATTCGTATTGTACCAATATATAGACATTGAAACTAAAATATATATATATAGCTATATATATATTTTTTTAATGGATGATAATGGAATGATAACCCCGCCTGCGCTATCGGTATACGCTGGCGGGGCACCAGTGATAGATGACTGATGAAGATGAAAGCAGGTCAGTTAGCCCATCTTGACGAATTTAACTAGAATAAGCCACGATGGTTTCCAGGGGGAACCATGTGGAGGTCGACCTGACAAGGAAATTGCTAGTAATGGGGCTATTTGACCCCATTACTAACAATCCCTATCCCCCCCCCCATAGCTATACATTACCCACCCCTAGACAATTGAAGTCGTTTCTTTTGTGAAACATAATCTAAAATTATGTAGGTATCATGAAGTGATCTTTTGTATCAATAGAGTTTACTGTATTTTTTAATTTCCTTTTTTAACTGGTGCATTAATAAGAATCCTTCCTCACACGCTTAAACCTAAATGATCACGTACAGTGCCGTTCCAAAGAGATTTTCTCCCACAAACGCTCAGGCTGTGGAATGAGCTCCCTGCCGAGGTTTTCCCTAGAGACTACAGTACGAGGTTCTTCAATAAGGGTATATTAAGGTTTCTTCAGAGTCGGCAATGCGCATGTGACAGCCATGCGCATGCGCATGTACTGCAGCCGTTCATAGGCTATAGTGACTGTTTACCATCAGACAGGCTATATGCTTGTTTGCCACCGTTGTGGTATAATAAAAAAAATAAAGTGTAAAATAAATTAATAATTTGGAAAATAATAATAAATGAATAAGAAATATCAAGTTTCATAATAAAGTTGATATGAGCAGAGACAGCGTCCGAGAGAAGGCGGATGAAGTGTTACCACTTAGTTACAGTATTAATTTAATCAGTCGTTACTATTGTTAACACTGTACGAGTATATACGGTGCTATCAATTTCAACAAAATCGCTCTTGGACGACCTCCTACTAATTTAACCTTGTCCTTTGAAGCGTCCCGACTTACAGAGGACGTAGTTCATTCACCGTTAACTCGATTAGGCAGCGATCTTTTTTACATCGTAATGTGGTATTTATGTCCCATTCCACTACTTTATTATGTCACCATAATATGTAAAGAATGCGTAGAACTGTAGTAGGTAAAATTTAGTCTCATAATGAATAAACTGCGGGTCTACCATGAAATGAAATTCCGAAATTTCGGACTCAATTTCGTGTTTTTGTTTATACCAAAATCGGACCAATAAATGGAGTTTAACATTTCTTTTATCATACATCCTATCATAAAAGTCCAAAGGAACAATATTTTAACATTTTTAATATTTCCAAACGGCATGTATGATGTAATTTTAACATCAAATTTTTATTTCGTTTAGCTCTGAAATTTCGGAAAACATTTCATGGTAGGATCTGATCTCTGATCATTAATGTGGCAAATAAATTGTTAAACTTTATTTTAAATTATCAACATCATCACCATACCAGCTTTTAACTGTCCACTGCTGAACATTAGCCAGTAGTTGCCGCGTTTGGCAGGCGGATTGGCAACCGCAGTCAGGCTTCAGAGATGTGTAATGAGGGACGCTGCTGCCCATCCCTCGCCCTCCCTTAGTCGGCTCCGCCAGTGTATACCGATAGCGTAGGCGGAGTTACCTATTCCATTATCATCCCTTAGTCGGCTTTTACGACACCCACGGGAAAGGAAGGGGTGGCTTATTCTACGCCGGAGCCACACGGCCATTTTTTTATTTTAATTATTGTTTGGGTATTATTTTTGAAAAAGGACAAAGTTCTCAATACTTCTTTTTCACAGCAAAATAAAGTAAAACAAGCTTTATTATACGACTTTGTCTGTCCGTACGTATGTTACAACGTAATATCTCAGCTACTATAAATCCAATTGATTTGTGAACTAGTGAGTTTATGATATTATTGACTCACACATTTTGCAAAGTAAAAGTGATAAAATTATATTTATACTTAATGGTCGAAGGATGGGCAGCAGCGTTCCTTTTAAAACATCCCCAAAGCCTAACTGCGTTTGCCAACCCGCCTGTCAAGCGTGGACTATGTTTTTTTTATACAACTTAGAGTGGCAAACAAGCTGAGGGCGCACCTGATGGAAAGTGGTAACCGTCGCCTATAGACATGAACAGTACCATGGACATAACAAAGTATAATGTTTCACCCATGATACCCCCTATGCGTTGCCATTCTATGTTCAGCAATAGTTAACAGCTGATAACAAATGTTTGTATGGTGCGGGCATCGAACCTGCGACAATCGGATAGTGAAGTAGTATGTTAAACTGCTACATCACCAATGATCATCAATTATTACAATGTATATAGTTACTTAATTTTTCATTGTAATTGTTATTTATATTAATTCAGACTAATTGTTATAAACTTATTTGCATGTGACATTATTAATTTGTAAAATTATTGTATTATTAGTGATTTTGCATTTGTATAGTCTTAAAATTTTATTATATTCGACACAATGTAATATTGTTATTGAAAAAAATAAATTGAATTTAATCTTTGGTTCCAGTTAAAATGGCTGCACAGGACGCGGCAATGTTAGAAAAATGTGAGGCACCCAATGGAACAGCGAGTGCATGTGGCAGCACGGTGAAATTAAAGCGTGAATTGGGGCTGTATTCAGCAGTGAATCTAATTCTCGGTGTCATGATTGGCTCAGGAATCTTTGTGTCACCAGCATCAGCATTAGAGCATTCAGGATCAGTGGCACTGTGTCTAATTATATGGACGATATCAGGCATAATATCCTTATTAGGTGGGTGTAGGTAAGGTTTTTACCTCTTTCGTTAATACCTGTATAAATATTATACATAAATATTATATGTAAATATAATAAACTAATAGTAAAAATATATATATAATATTTTTTAGGAGCATTATCCTTCGCCGAATTGGGAACTGTAGTCAATAAGTCAGGAGCAGAATACTCATATTTTCAAGAAGCTTTCGGAAAAATACATAAGTTTTGGGGTCCATTACCCTCATTCATATGTGCATGGATTTATGTCGTGATTCTCAGACCAGCTGAAGTGGCTATAATTGTGATGACGTTTGCTGAATATGCAATACAGCCATTCACTCATAATTTACAAGAAGATTATAAGCACATGGTAATCAAGTTGGGGTCACTAACAGCATTACGTAAGTATAAAGTATTATACCATATTATACCACGTAATAATAATTTCAACCTACAATTATGGCTATATATTAAATTGGAACTAAGACGATGTCGTATATTTGAACATTTTCTAAAAATGCGTAGTTAATTAATTAAAGAAATAAGAGTTATTCGATTTTATTATATGCAGTATCTTTTTTACGGCAACACTACAGCTGTCAAACAGACAGCAGTCATCTGTCAACATCAAGCCATTTGACATTTCTTTCGTGAACGAATTTGACGTGCGTTAATTTTGTTTTTAAACGTTTTTTCGTCGTTATTCCTTATAATTTTTATTGTTTTTTAACTTAAAAAAAAGATTTTCATATTTAATAATATAATTATTGGAGACAGTGCATTAAAAACTACTTCGAACAACAAGGCAAGTAAATAGTATAATAATTTTGACTTTATTTAATACAAAATATCATAGTTTATATTTCATTTCGTCTATTTAATTTTACAGTATGTCTAACAACTACAATAAAGAAACTCAGGAAGAACTTAAACGGAAAGTAAAAGCACTGCAATCCAAATGTCTTGACACTTGCAATATTATAGAGAATTTACCTTTAAACAGTCATCTAATAAACCCAGATAATGTGCATGAAAAGTCGTTGTGTTATGTCGAAGGACTCCGCACGGACATTGAAAATTCCATTACTCCTCTAGTAACAGACGACAATTTACTCACTGCACAATTTCTATGCGAAATGACACAGAAAACCAGTGAAGTTGAAGAGTTAACAGCTTATACGAAAGGTCTTATTCATGATGTGGATACAGAGATTATCAGGTATTTATAAATTTATGTCAACACACTTTGTCTCTACAATTAATAAAAAAAATAACATACATTTTATTTATAATTTTAGCACACAAAGATTATATTAATACAAATTATTTTGATCAAAGATGTACAACAACCGAGTTTAACTCTTTAAGTGTTCTCTTCTAGCTAACGCTGAGTGGAATGGAACATTAATTATCAGCGGTTCTTTATATTGTGTACTGAATGGAGTAAACAAAAATAAGAAACAGAGTAGTTGTGGTTTTTCATTCATTATTAACAAATTAACTATTAACTTATAATATTCAAAGATACTTACATTCAACGTACACAAATATTTGTATAAAATAATAAATATAAAATATTATATCCACATACAATGCAATTAATCAGTAAAGAGTAATAAAAAAAAGTAAATTGATGAATCTATTTTGTTTAGTCTATTGGCATAGTGTTATCTCTGTTTATTTGCTGATATTTAATGTAACATAAATCAACACAAAATAGTTTATACTATACTATGCTAGTAAGTGATGAGAAATGAGGATGAAGTCAGGGCTGTTAGACCACTATGATGAATTCTCCAGGAATTAAGTATGATGGTTTCCAAGAGTGATCATGTAAAAGTGGCCTGATATATATATATATATATATATATATATATATATATATATATATATATATATATATATATATATATATATATATATATATATATATATATATATACATACATATATACACATATATATACAATTTTCCATTATTTAATTTATTTAATCTTTAAAGTGAAAGTATGTACATATGGCAGATTTAAAACCGGCCGGTGTTCTCTACCAGTCAACCATTGGGCAAACAGAGAAATAAGTAGGCGATGCATTATTGAATTGAAGGAATATAAACATTAATATATTCATATATTATAAACTTACAATTAAACTAATATAAACATACATATAATATATTAAATAAATATATAGATTCATAAATAAATACATAAATATCACTATAACAAACAACTGTATTAGAAGAGCAAATGAAACAATCTATGACTCAGAGCAACCAGTAAGTTGAAGTATAAAAGTAAGGAGAAATAAACAAAAAGAATTATGTGTTATTGAACTTTGAAATTAAATATTCATATATGTATTAATAAATATGGTCCTGATTCAAATATTGTATATCAATAAATTAATTGCTAACAATCCATTACTTAATATCTCCACAATACCAGATAATCTTTACCAGAGGGAGACTTTGTACAAAAGTCGATTGCTTGGGTACCTCTGTCCCATTCGTGTTTCAACCGTGAAGCACTTATGTTTGCATGGCTGTGTTTCGGTTTGAAGGGTGGGATATGGCGTGAATTTACTGGGTACAGAGGAATAACACCTGAGTCCTCAGGAATGGCAACACATGGGGGGTATCATAGGCGAAACAGTATACTCTGTTATGTCCATGGTACTGCTCTTGTCTATAGGCTACGGTTACCACTTTCCATCAGGTGTGCCGTCAGCTTGTTTCCATTCTAAGTTGTATAAAAAAAAAATACATTTGAGATCACACTTTTTCATCTAATGAGAAGTAGTTTCCTTATATTAATGACCATTTTTTTACTCATTTGTATTCCATCAGTGGATTTTTTTAAGCTAATGCCTTATACAATGTGTTTAACATATTATTCTGACATTTAATAGACAATCAAATCATTAAAATAAAATTAATAACAATTATATTTTATTACAACAATTGACTGTTATTTCCATTCATATATTGCACAATACCTATTTACTTAACAACATCACATAATAAAAAAAAAAAGTATAGAAATAAAAATAATAAATAGACTATATTGTACAATGAATTACAGATTGAGTGAACTGATAAAAACAACACAGGAAGCGAGGTCACATTCCAGTGCACAGAAAAATCAGGAGCTATGTCCAGAACATTTACAAAAGGCCAAAGAGAAGTTTCTAATTATGAAAAGTGAAATCCATGGACTGGTGCGGTCTCTGTTCCCGAATCATGCAGAAATTATGCTGGAAGTTATGGCAGTAAGTAACTTATAAAAAAAGTCAACCAACTTAAAAAAGAAGGAGATTCTCAATTTGCATATATTTTTTTATATTTGTTACCTAATAACTCTGTCAGTTCTAAACTGCGGGTCTACCATGAAATGAAATTCCGAAATTTCGGACTCAATTTTGTGTTTTTGTTTATACCAAAATAGGACCAATAAATCAAGTTTAATTATAATTTTTTTCGTCATACATCCTATCATAAAAGTCTAAAGGAAAATTTTTTTAACTTTTTTAATATTTCCAACTGGCATGTATTATGTAATTTTAACATCAAATTTCTGTTTCGTTTGGCTCCGAAATTTCGGGAAACATTTCATGGTAGGCCCTCTGATTTGGAAAATTCTTTTTCTTATCGGAAAGGGTGCACTTACAGATTGGTCCCATATAAACTTTATCAAAATTGACTCAGTTGATTAGATTCAGAACAAAATAACTGGTTTTGTCACATTGAAGTTGGCTTTCTTTGTGGGACTCAATCTTTAATCATTGTTGCCCACTGTCAAGAGATTCTAAGGCACTTTTATTACACATTAAAGCCTCTAAAGTGGTTTACTAAACTATAACTTGACTTTCTACCTGAAGCATGAAGCAAGTGACAATGGTTTAAAAGAACCAAGCATTAATTATAAAATTTTTAGTGTTTAATACTCATATTGGCATCTTTAGACCACAGTCAAGCATTGTAATGTATTAAGTATTAAAAGTATCAAAATGTAATGTATTAAAAATTACTTAAAATATAAACCATAGTTTTATATGATAATTTGAAATAAAGAATTTTGTTTGAAGTTTGGACTTTATAATTGTAATATAATGTAGAAACTAAATACAGTTTAACATTTGCATACCTCTGCAGGGTGCTGTATGTTATGTACCTGTATATGTAACTTTTATTGTACCATGTAGCAAGTGATTAAATATGATTTGATTTGATTTTGCCAACTGAGTAAAGCCTTATTTTCAGTCAGACAAAAGTAATTTTTATGAGTAGGTACCATCACTTAACTATCTACTGTTGATGTACCTCCCCATTACATTATATTTGTTTATAATTTATAATAATTTAAATGCAATTTCCATTATTTATATTATATTATTATTCATATTGTTAATATCTTTACTCATATAATGACATTTAATATTTTAATTATATTTTAATGTTTATCAAACACAAGGCATGCTGTGGTTGCCTATAAATGTAAGAACAGTAAGATCTATTCTACTAGTGTATTGTATTGAAATGTGTAGCTGTATCTTATGTTGGTAATCCTATAAATACATAAATAAATACTGTGAAGCAGCTGTACTTGCATACTGTTTTTTGATTTGAAATGTAGAAAATACTGTATAGTGGAAATTACTGCCTAACAAAAACATAAGCTAAGCTAGTCGTGCTCACTATAAGGTCCTGGTGACGACAGTGTGGTGGGCCGGGTCGTTAAGCTACTACTAAAATATGGTTGATTGCAATGATGTTTAACTCATCCACCATACTCGTGAATGGGTGCTGCTTGTAGGGACTGGTCTGCGAGTTGGTTATTTTCCATTTAATCTATACTTATAATAAATCTGTAGAGAAGTCAATTCTGTACATGAAATATATTTCCAAAATAACTATCAGCGGGGTGATTAGTCATCGATACTGATGCCAAAAATGCAATCAGTAAAATTTTTGTCTATCTGTCTGTATGTTTATATAGAAACAAAAACTACTCGACGGATTTTAACGAAACTTGGTACAACTATTCTTCATACTCCTGGGCAGGTTATAGTATACTTTTCATCACGCTACGATCAATAGGAGCAGAGCAATGAAGGGAAATGTTTGGAAAACGGGAGAAGTTACTCCATTTTTAAGCTTCCGTCGCGTGTGCAGCCTTAATGGCCACTTTTTAAAATGTAAAAATGTCCACCCGTGCGACGCCGGGACCTGCCGCTAGTAATACATATAAATAGAACTGAATTTTCATTATAATCACAGTACCCATACAAATCTAAAATTATCTTGTACGTAATAATTTGAAAAGAGTAACTGTAGAGTTTCTTACAGATACTTCTCAACAAATAACATCCCAAACCCAGCTGTACAGTAATATAAAAGTAACGATTTAAAAGAGCTCGCAAACAAGTCTTAAGATTATTTTTATTCTATTCTATAACTCACTTGTATATAAGAATATCCACAGTACAAAATAATATTTTAATAAGCTACCTGCGGCAATTTATAATTGTTTCTTATTTCATATATTTACCTTTTAAATTACTATAACTATAGACTTCCTATATATGTATTAAACATATAAATAACTTTCTTCCAGGAACTGATGTCAGAAAAACTAAAGGAAAACTCTAACAGCTATATTCCAATAACGGCAGAGAACTATAAAATAATCGAGTTATTGAAGGACATTAATCTTGTATCAACAAACCCGTACAATAATACTGAAGTTAAAATTGCATATTGATATATATATAAAATATTTATAGTATAAAAATAAATAACCAAAATAAGACTGTGACAATAACCTGAAGATTTCTTAATATTGCCTTTAAAAAAAATACGACGTTTATAAAGAATTGTAATCAAATATTTTTGTATAATCGAATACAAAAGTCTGTGAAAGAAACATGAATGAATATTAATTATGTTTTAATAAATCTTTCCAAAGTTTAATTTTACTTTTATTTCTTTGTTAATTAAGAATCAACCTCTAATAACCCAGTTAAAAATTTACCACTTATCGACAGTTTAATATGTTAATAGTAGGCTAATAATGTCCTTTTAATGGAAGTTAATGACTGAATGGTGACGGGAAAACCATATGTATTTAAAAATCGACATTAAGATGTGTGAGAAATTGAAAAAGTGGCTGAAGCAAAAGGTATGTCTAATGCCATAGTCCTTTGGCATTTACCTGTCTACACCAAAAATTACGTAACGCAAATATATATATATATATATATATATATATATATATATATATATATATTTGTTTCCAATGATCTTTAACCTGTCTCCAAAAAACTTCGGTGGTAGATTAAAAAAAATATTACGTTACATATTTATATAGATTATCTTATTAAACAACGCTGTTAAATTTTTTTAATTATACAGTACTATCATACCTTCTTGTACAACAATTAGTCCATTACCTTAAAGTTGTCTTGAAAAGATTGTATCGTTATAATTGTCTTGCTTATTTCTTATATTTTATATGCAAATAAAGTTTACTCATTTATTCAAATCTTTTTATTCTCATTTATTATTGGTTTTTTTTTTTATTTTTAGAAATAAAATATATTATTATAGTATAGTGTTGTGCAGGTGGCCCGGAACTGTTCCTTATGGCAATCTATGGGGAACACCTATGTTCAACAATGGACAATTAAGAGCTGATATAATTATGATATTGTTATACATAATTAACACAACGACCTGTTTATTCCAACTAATTGTCAATTCATGCATTGTTATTTCAATAATAAAATATACTAAGGGTTTATTATTGTTGTTTATTCATATTTATATAATGTTTTTTTTTTTTTTTTGATGGGTGAAAATGGTATGGTAACCCCGCCTGCATTAACGGGATACGCTGGCGGAGCACCAGTGAAGGGTGATAGGTGACGATGAAAGCAGATACGTTAGCCGTTAGATGAGAATGAAATTAGGCCAGTTAGCCCATCATGATGAATTCATCAGGAATTAACCATGACAGTTTCCAGGGGAAACCGCGAGGAGGTCGACCCGGTTGGGTATATTGCTAGCAATGGGATTCTCGGTCTCCATTACTAACAATCCCTTTCCCCCCAATGCTTGTTTGCCATTCAAAGTTGTATATTTTATTTTTATTATAACAACTTTTTAAGCATCACCTAAACCTATTACTGGGAGGGTTTGGGATAAAATACTAACTTTTTTTTTTATAAATGTATTATATTCCCTTTTCATAATTATGTATGTGTGTGCTTTTCTATTCCAGTTATAATGACATACATAAATATAACGAGCGTGAAGCTGTTCGTTAGAGTACAGAATGTGTTTGGCGTGTGTAAAGTATTCGCGTGTCTCGTCGTTATCGGGGGAGGATTATACGAGATCGCTAGAGGTAAGTTTAGCACGATAAACGTATTGGTATAACTGATTTCTCGCCTAACATCCCTCTATCGCTTTCTTCACAGACTTTTGTTTCCACTGCTCTTAAAAACACAACTTACATGCTAAGTCTCTTATAAATATAGCCAATAACGGATTTTATTTATGCAAACGAAAATATAATTCCCACAGCTCTTAAAAACACAACTTACATGCTAAGTCTCTTATAAATATAGCCAGTAACGGATTTTATTTATGCAGACGAAAATATAATTCCCACAGCTCTTAAAAACACAACTTACATGCTAAGTCTCTTATAAATATAGCCAATAACGGATTTTATTTATGCAAACGAAAATATAATTCCCACAGCTCTTAAAAACACAACTTACATGCTAAGTCTCTTATAAATATAGCCAGTAATGGATTTTATTTATGCAGACGAAAATATAATTCCCACAGCTCTTAAAAACACAACTTACATGCTAAGTCTCTTATAAATATAGCCAATAACGGATTTTATTTATGCAAACGAAAATATAATTCCCACAGCTCTTAAAAACACAACTTACATGCTAAGTCTCTTATAAATATAGCCAGTAACGGATTTTATTTATGCAGACGAAAATATAATTCCCACAGCTCTTAAAAACACAACTTACATGCTAAGTCTCTTATAAATATAGCCAATAACGGATTTTATTTATGCAAACGAAAATATAATTCCCACAGCTCTTAAAAACACAACTTACATGCTAAGTCTCTTATAAATATAGCCAATAACGGATTTTATTTATGCAGACGAAAATATAATTCCCACAGCTCTTAAAAACACAACTTACATGCTAAGTCTCTTATAAATACAGCCAATAATGGATTTTATTTATGCAGACGAAAATATAATTCCAAAGCGAGGTAGGCAAGTTAGAGTGGGTGTATGCATGTAATATAAGTGCACGTATGAAAGAAACCGTGTATAATGATGAATGTCCATAAAGTTGGGTTAACCAATATATAAAATAATTAAAGTCCATGTTGTTACAGTTCAGATATTTTTTTTTTTTATTAGATGAAAATAGTATGGTAACCCCGCCTGCGCTAACGGGATACGCTGGCGGAGCACCAGTGAAGGGTGATAGATGAGAATGAAAACAGGCCAGTTAGCCCATCATGATGAATTCATCTGGAATTAATCATGATAGTTTCCAGGCGGAAACGCGAGGAGGTCGACCCGGTTGGGTATATTGCTAGCAATGGGATTCTCAGTCTCCATTGCTAACAATACCTTCCCCCCCCCCCCCCCAGTTCAGATATTGAAGGCAATGATTACTGAATACTTAATAAATACAATTTCTTCTTTGAAATTCTCGTGTAATTTATTATATTTTATTTTTTATTTTTCAAACGTTTTTATATTTTTATTGCCAACTATATAGGGATCGATTATTGAAATTATGGACAATTGCGGCCCGCTTTTACTTCACTTTGCCACCTTGACCCTTACACCCTTTGACCCTTACACGCCCAAAAGGATGACCCCTGACATAAATGATAAATTACGCTCTCAGGTAACACAGAGAACTTGAAGAAAGGCTTCGAAGGCAGCACGACGAGCCCGGGCGGCATTGCTCTGGCCCTCTACTCGGGGCTGTGGGCGTACGATGGCTGGAACAGCGTGACAGTCGTCACCGAGGAGATCATCAACCCTTCCGTGTTAGTTGAGTCATCATCATTTAATTAGATCACCACTGAACATGGAGAAACTTTTTTATTCAACTGAGAATGGCGAGCAAGCTAATGGCCCACCTGATGGAAAGTGGTATCCGTCGCCTATAGACATGAGCAGTACCATGGACATAACAGAGTATACTGTTTCGCCCACGATACCCTCCATGCGTTGCCATTCCTGAGAACTCAGATTTTATTCCTCTGTACCCTGTAAATTCACTCCATATCCCACCCTTCTAACCGAAACACAGCCATGCAAACATAACTGCTTCACGGTTGAAACACAAATGGGACAGAGGTACCCAAACAAACGACTTTTGTACAAAGTCTCCGTCTAAAACTTCTAAATTGACGAGTGGTTTTTATTATTAAATATTATTATGAAGTCACAGATAATACGTGATCTTTTCCTAATTAAATTATAATCCATCTAATCGCAATGTGTCTTGCTAGTATGATTTTTTTACAAAAATGTACCTACAACATAAGGGAATAAAGATAAAAATTGTGATAGATAATTACTATGTCGGTAAAGAACAAATAAAACTTAATACAACAACAACCAATTAAGAAATTTTTCCTCTAATCAACTTTAATTACAATATAATTAACAAAAAACCACACGTTTTGACTCTAACGTCATCTAATATTTCGTATCCAATTTTGTTTAGTGACCAACCACCTTAAGAACAATTGATATGAGGCGTCTTAATAAAACTACCTGTCTATTTCTAAAATATACCCGTACGAGCTAACAAGCAAAGAACTTGTTGCATTAAAATAAAAATAAAATATATACCAATCTAAATGCAACTATTTCAATTTTTAGAATTTCCATATATTAATTTTATTTTTACCGTATAATGCTAGTAAGTAGCTATGTTTTGAAAAATGTAGATAAGTCACATTGCCAGACCTGGTTAACAAAAAGATTGTGTCCCATAAAAATATATGCAACTTCAATTTTTTTATACAACTTAGAATGGCAAACAAGCTGACGACCCACCTGATTGAAAGATGAAAGAAAGGTGGTAACCATCGCCTATAGACATGAGCAGTGCCATGGACATAACAGAGTATACTGTTTCGTTCTTGATACCCCCCATGCGTTGCCATTCCTGAGGACTCAGGTGTTATTCCTCTGTACCCAGTAAATTCACGCCATATCCCACCCATCAAACTGAAACACAGCCATGTAAACACAACTGTTTTACGGTTGAAACACGAATGGTACAGAGGTAGCCAAGCAAACGACTTTTGTACAAAGTCTCCCTCTAGTGAGATAATTGTGACAAAATTCATTATTTTGATTTAAAAGCTAAACTACTTAAACGATTTGAATAAAATTCCTATTAGTACCAGTATGTAAGTTTACCCTTTCAGATAAAAAAAATGAATCGTTAAAATCGGTTTCCAACTGACAAAGTTATGAGGTAACAAACATAAAACAAAATACAACCAAATTAAGAACTCCCTTCTATTTAAAGTCAATTGATAAATTATAAGCGATTAATTAACTTATTTTATTGTAATTATTTCTTGTAATTGTTTATATTTATAATAAGTTTACTATTATAATCTTTTGGAGGTGTTTACACATGAAAACTCTTTTGTTACTTACTTACAGAGGAATAACACTTGAGTCCTCAGGAACGGCAACGCATGGGAGGTATCATGGGCGAAACAGTATACTTTGTTATGTCCATGGTACTGCTCATGTCTATAGGCGACGGTTACCACTTTCTATCAGGTGGCCCGTCAGCTTGTTTGCGATTCTAAGTTGTATAAAAAAAAAGAATAATTTGAATTTAATAAAAAATAAAAAAAAAACATTCTTTTTCAAGCTGTCAACATGTCTTTTATTTTATAAATTTTAAAAAATTTAATATAAAGCAAAATACAGCTAGAACACTAACAGGAGGAAACAATAAAGAGTATCTATCTATCTATTTTATTATTATTATTAATTGTTTTTTTTTTTTATTATGAATAAAGTGTGTCGTTGTTGCAGGAACGTTCCACTGAGCATATCGATCGCGGTGCCGCTGATCACCGCTCTGTATGTCTGCATGAACGTCGCCTACATGACGGTGCTGAGCTACGCGGAGATGATCTCGGTGCCGGCGGTGGCGGTTGCGTTCGGCGCGCGGGTGCTAGGACCGGCCAGCTTCCTCATACCGCTCGGCGTCGCAATCGCCACCTTCGGGTGCGCTATGAGCGTACAGTTCGGTATCACCAGGTGAGGAAGACCATAGATATTTTTAATTTTTTAATTATAAATAACCTTAGTTTTTTTTTTTACTGGATGATAATGAAATGGTAACCTCGCCTGTGCTACCGGTATACGCTGGCGTGGCACCATTAAGGGATGATAGGTGAGAATGAAAAGGCAGGTCAGTTAGCCCATCGTGATAAATATGCCTGGACTTCAGCACAATAGTTGCCAGAGGGCACCATGTGGAGGTCGACCTGACTTGGTATATTGCTAGCAATATGACTGGTAATCTGTATTACTAACAATCCTTTTACTCCATTTTTGTTGTGTCTCGGTTTAACCCAATGCCTCGGAGAAAATTATTAGTAATGGGTCTAAAGCTCCATTGCTAGGATTATATTACACTATATCTGTTTTTCTTTCTTTTCTCAATGTTCTCTACCCAAAGGTTATTTGCCGCCTAATAAGGCCGCCTTTTGTATCATTTCTTATTACAGTTAAATATATTTGCTATTTTATAAATGGTGCAATAAAGTGTAAATAAATATATCAGGTCGACCTTCACGAGGTTCACCGCAAAAATTGTCGTGGTTATTTCTTGTGGGATTTGTCACGATAAGCCAATTGACCAGACTTCGTCCTCATTTAACATCATCCACTGATCCCCCTCCAGTGTAAGCCAATAGTTCAAGATGGTTACGATTCCATTTTTATGTCATAAAAAAGAAACGCCTCAATTTCCGACGATCGTCGATTTTATCTTATGTGAAATGCATACATATATTTTACTCATGAATAGAGTACATTTGTATTCATAATAAAATATATGTATTTCTATTTGTCTCGTTAACGGTATGAGTGTTCTCTTTGTACTAACTGTACTGGGTACATCATATCAATAGGCCTTCCCAATACGCCGCTCTCTATAAGCCGTTTTCAATCATTTTTACACAGCAACTATATGATTGGTGTGTTTTCATAGACGCCCTGCGCCATCTTTTACGGCCGGTGATCGGTCGTCCCTCGAACTGGAGACCGGTAGACAGCAGAGGTCGCCAGTTCGGGGGCCGACCACATACTATTTTTTTGTTGCAGTATCCGGCCGTAGTACCTTCCTAATGCTCCTCAAATATTGCGTCTAAACTGCGCCCACCATGTACCCTCTTGTATAGGCATTCCGTCACCCATATCCAATAACGAGGACGGGATGCCTTAAATACTGTACCGTAAACCATAAAAAAAAGCCTTCCCAATAAGGGATTTGCCGGTAGTTGCCACACTTGACAGGCGGTACTGTGTAATATTTATACGTATTTGCAGAAAAACAAAAGCATTTAAGTGTTTCTTATATATAAATTGTTTATATATTTACCAGAGGGAGACTGTACAAAAGTCGATTGCTTGGGTACCTCTGTTCTATTCATGTTTCAACCGTGAAGCAGTTGTGTTTGCATGGCTGTGTTTCGGTTTGAAGGGTGGGATATGGCGTGAATTTACTGGGTACAGAGAAATAACACCTGAGTCCTCAGGAATGACAACGCATGGGGGGGGTATCATGGGCGAAACAGTATACTCTGTTATGTCCATGGTACTGCTCATGTCTATAGGCGACGGTTGCCACTTTCCATCAGGTGGGCCGTCAGCTTGTTTGCCATTCTAAGTTGTATAAAAAAAAATACAATAAACTAAATAAAATTAACTAAATTGTTTATAATATTTATTTCATTTTATTCCCAGAGTGTGCTACACAGCTGCACGGGGCGGTCACATGTTAGAAGTATTTTCCTATGTAAATATAAAGCGACTAACACCGGCGCCAGCGGTCGCCTTTCAGGTAAATAATAAAACGCTAAATAATCTATCTATCCTATTTAAGAGCTGCGCTCTTGTCGGTGGAGCTCTTGCCACTCACTACGATTTTCAGCGAGTCTCTTCACCTTTTGATACGACACGACAACAACTCCTTCCTTGATCTGCCTGATGTAACTATGTCTTGGTCTCCCTTTTCCCTTCTTTATATCTTACCTTCTATTATAATGTTCATAAGTTCGTCGTGTCGTATCAAGTGTCCCAACATTTTTCCCCTTCTGTCCTCATTAGTTCTAATAATTTGTCTTTTTTTCCTTAACCCTAAGCAGGAGCTCCTCATTGCTAATTCGATCCCTCCAGCTCATTTTCTCCATCCTTCTCCAGCACCACATTTCAAATATGATATTTTCAACAAATATGTATTTATCATAGATGTATAGTATTTCTCTTCTTAACCTTTCTAATATAATAAAATACTAATGGATCTACGTACTTGAGACATATTGAAAAAAAACTCATAAGACTCTTAGATATTCTTAATTTTTTTTTTTTAATTTTGTCTGTTTATGTGTTTGTTCCGTAAAATTTATGCGCCAAATTAGATGCAGTTTTCCTGAAGGTCTAACTTAAAATCTGGTTCATATTTTAACTTGATACTCTGTCTAGTAGTGGTTTTCTAACTTCAATACTGAACTCCACTCGTACGAAATAACGGGCAAAGAGTTATTAATATATAGATATTTTTAATTAACTTTTTTTTTGTTTCAGGCAATCCTAACATCCATATTCATTTTAGTTGGCAACATTCGAACCCTTATAGAATTTGCTAGTTGGTTCCTGTGGTTTTTCTATGGGCTTGGCATGGTGGCACTACTGGTCCTAAGAAAGACACAAGCGCACAAGCACCGGCCCTACAAAGTGCCGACTGCGGTGCCCTGCTTTGTGTTGCTATTAGCAATATTCCTGTCAGTGTTCCCAATTGTGCACGACCCGTCAATTAAATATTTAATAGCAGTCGGATTAATGGTAATAGGAATATTTGTATACACAATATTTGTGTATTATAAGAAAACGCCTACATATATTTTAAGTGAGTATAAATTTTATTTACATTACTTTTTTTGTAAGCGACAGGTTGGCAAAAACTGAAAAACTTACGAGAACTACCTACGAAGAAGCGCCGTTGACCACGTCGTAAAATTTCAAATACAAACAAAGAGTCGTTACTTATATGGCTATGGTGTACTTCCGATGAGAAAAGGGAGAGGGAGACTTACTTACCAGAGGGAAACTTTGTACATAAGTCGATTGCTTGGGTACCTCTGTCCCATTCGTGTTTCAACCGTGAAGCAGTTGTGTTTGCATGGCTGTGTTTCGGTTTGAAGGGATATGGCGTGAATTTACTGGGTACAGAGGAATAACACCTAAGTCCTCAGGAATGGCAACCCGGGGGGGGGGGGGGGGGGGGGGTATCATGTGCGAAAGAGTATACTCTGTTATGTCCATGATACTGATCATGTCTATAGGCGACGGTTACCGCTTTCCATCAGGTGGGCCGTCAGCTTGTTTGCCATTCTGTTGTATAAAAAAAAAATCTGCCATATAATTCAGACTATTCATCTGAATCAGCTATTTTCGTTTTAGCCAACCTGTCCCTTCCACCTGTATATTACTATTACACAAATGACAATCGAATCTAATGATAAATTCCTTTCAATTAACACTCGCACAAGAAAGACCAAGACAGCGCATGCCACCATCTCATTCTATCTCACGGACTCGCTAGCAATAAAGATTTCATTGATAGATTCGTTTGGCACTTATCTAGAGGGGTATTACAATTTTGTTGACTGGTAAATCTTACTCATATTATAAATGTGAAATTGTTTAATTATTATTGCCCCCTTAACGGCTTAACAAATTTGGCATACAAAATTGTTTTTGAACATAAATGCACAATTACTAGTTTCTTTAATATATTCATGCATTCTGTGCAAAAAATTTACAACTATTTACAAACTTACTTGTTTTCAGTTTTACTCATAAACAATAAAAATTACTCAATTTTTGGCCTAAAAGGTTTTACATGTAGGTACGCCTCTATGGTTTGAAAAGTGTTATTAGGTAATTCTTAATCATAGACGAAGGACATAAAAATAGAACAAGTAAACAGATTTTTTTTTCTTTCAGGCAAGTTCACATTTGTTACACAAGTACTATTCGAGAGCGTCCCGCCAAGCGGCAATCGTCAAGACTGATCTAATTTAATATTGCATGACATATCCATAGCTTAGATTATATAGACAGAATGTCAAGTCTTAAAAACGGGTCAACTTTTTGTCAGCTAATTGTCAAATTAGCTCTTTTTTTTATTAGTGTTCTATATACTTACGTACATGACGTATTTATATTTAATTATTTAATAAATAGAGTATTTTCGCATTAAAAAAGTGCAAAAATTTGTTAAACAAAAATAGAATTAATTATCATAGGCAAGTATCTCCAATTTTAAACATACATACTATTATAAATATTCACATTTCATTCAAAAGAATTCGCGCCATATTTTAGTGTTGCAAGTATCTGAAAAAAATTCTCCATAATTGAATTTATAATCCCGAAAAGAGGTAGATTATTTTCAATATGAATTGAATTATTTTTAATTATAATTCTTATGTATATACTATTTTCTAACATAATATAAGTATAATATATATATGTAGGTATGTACATAGAGATATTATTGAGTATTATGTAGACTATTCATTATTATTCATATCCACATTAACTTTTTATTATTTAAAAAATTGTGCTTTGTTATTTGACAGATTGGATTCAAAATAGATTTCGGAGGATTCCTATATATATCAAATATAGATTTGGTATCAGAATTAATTAAAATGGCCGTCATTTTTATTATTTTATCGAATGCTTTCAAAACCAATATCTTAGAATACCTATACACTTCAAATATAAATCGCGTCTCAGAATTAATCAAAATGACCGCCATTTGACCAATTCGACAAAATCGATATCTGAGGATCCGTGTACACTTTAAATGGATCCGGTGCATAAAATTAAAATGGTATTCACTTCCATTAATCTGACACCAATGCATTTTTTAAATCTACAAAGATTCTAAGATATTCATTTTTTAAAAAATCGGTTAAAAGAAACTATCAAAGCGGTCGTTACTTTTAGTGAAATTATCCGTCTATATTTGAAATATACATGGATCCATAAATACCAATTTCTGTAGTTTATTATTATGAAGTTCTGTCTACTGCATTCTTTGAAATATAATAATAATAAATAAGTAGTATGATTATACATGTAAATAAAGTCAAATATTGTAAAGGATTAATTAATCCTAATTAAACAATAAATAAATAATAAGAAATCTTAAATTAATAATTTCTAACCTGGTAACCTTATCACTGGTAAAAAAAAAATAGAGGGCAAAGGAAGAAAAATAATTATATGATACGGATGAAAACACTAGGTGTTATGTCGTATATAGAGCTCAAATATATGGCCCGGAATAGAGCTGACTGGAAAAAAAAACATGAATTAGTTGCGCCTACAAGAGGAAACTCTGAAATTAAAAATAGAAGAACCTTATCACGCACAGTTATATTAAAAAGTTGACCCGCTTTTATCGAAGCATTTGTATGAAGAATATGTATATATTCTAAGGTCATATCATTTGTAAATATTGATGAAATAATTATAAGTTATTTTTACTATACATTTTCTTATTTTATTGCACTTCAATAATAATGTTTCTCAAAACCAGTTATTTTCATTTAAAAACTAAACTACTAAACCAATTTTGATAAAATTTCTACGAGACGAATTTGTAAGTATCTCCTTTCAAATAAAAAAGAACTTTCCAAATCGGTTTACAATTAACAGTTATGAGATAACAAACAAAAAAACACAACCGAATTGAGAATGTCCTAATTTGGTTGAAAATATATAATTTATCTATACTATATCCTCTGATTGGCGAAACAATCCTAACCGACACCGTTGTATATGTCCATAAAGGGCACCAAAACTCAATGACTCGATGATAAAAAAAAAAAACATCTATAACGAATCAAATGAGTACAAGAGACAGTGGTGTGCTCCTCCTCTCACACATTTCGTTATAAGTCGGCTAACTGAACTCAGGTAGGATGAGCCAAAACAAAACAGCTAACAATAAGCTAATAAGTACTTAATTATAATGCGTAATACCTAATCATTATGTGTTTCGATTTGATAGGTGGAATATGGCAATAAAACTGCAGGATAAAAATGTTTAATCCCCAGGAATGTTCCACATGAGACTTTTGATAGGTATCTTAGTACATTTTATCTTTGGCTCGTTCAAACCCTTCGCTCCGTTCATCCCTCTGAATACAGTACCTATTGTTCTAGTCATGCTCACGTGTCTATTACCTTTTGTAATACAGAAATGAAACTATCATTGGCGTATTTAAAGTTACTTTTCTTAACAAAAAGTTAAATATATCTTCGCGAACAGCACTAAGCTTCGCTTATATCTTGGGATCGGCAGATAATAATTTAGGGTGAACATGATCCATCTGGCTCCTCTTTAAGTAGATCTTATAGTTATTTTTATATAAATAAACCTTGAGTTTCCTGTTACAAACTAATAAATAGTTTTACTTTCAGCTTCTTTGTTTGCCGTTACATTAATTTGACAACTATGATAATGAAATAATAAAAGTCTTGTTTATAGACATCATGCCTCAATAGCTCATTGATAATAAATAATACTAACATTTTAATAGAAACTTCATCAGGAAACAAATACAGTAATTAGGAATAGGTGCCATAGATGATCAAGCAGTTTCTTTCAAGAACTATAATAAAATAAGCTCGCAGCGAAGTAATTATATTTCAAGTATTAATATCGATGGTGAATAGAAATGAGCTTGTTCCATTTATTAATCGTTTATAAAGGTCATTAGGAAAAATAAATGTGCTCTATGGATGAAGACAATAATTACTCTATACTCTGCGTACAGATTCAAAAATAAAAAGCGAATTCCAGACAAATTATCTTTTTGAAGACTAGGCAGCATGGTCTCCGACCTTAGCCTGTTCCAAACGGAACAAACGTACTAAAAAAAAAAAAAAAAAAAAAATAAAAAGCGAGCCAATAATTTATCAGGTTATGATTTTTGTTTTGTTACAATAATAGTTACAAATTTTCTATTAAATTGGATGTAATCGTGTAATCTTCGTGAGTTATCATCATGGCTTATCATTATGTTGTTACTGCACAGAAACCGACGGCTGTCACAGCTTGTATTACCGGTAAATTCGAACAAATTGTTATTCGTGCTTTGTAGGTTAACTATATTATAGAACATCTATATAATTTTACTTTAACTCTGCGAATGCATACTCCGATGCATTGTTTGATGTAGTGAATTAGTAAATAACAAAGCCTTACATTGTACAACTCGCCAAATTTGTTGTATTTTTAATAGTACGAAAAACATCCCCCACTGTTTGCTTTAGCCACAACTGCGTCTTATGAATTTTTTTTCAATAACATTTTACACATTTATAGCTATGTCTAGTTTTCTATACAACATTTGTCTATTTGCATAACTCAAAGAATATAGGCCAATGATATTTCCGAAAACCGATGGAGATAAAAGGTTCTTGAGTGGCGGCCCTGTACAAGCAAACGCAGAGTAGGTCGAGCCCACCACTAAAGTGACGACCTCAAATACTTTGCAGGAAGTGAGTGGATACAGATGGCTCAGAACCGTTCCTTATAGCAGTCTATGGGGAAGGTCTATGTTGAACGGTAGACAGATAATGGCTGATATAATTATGATGATGATTATTTCAAGGTAATCACATATCCATTGACTGTCTATCTGAAGAAGTTTATGAATTTATAAAAAATATCAAATGTGATGTGCAATTTGATGCAATACTTCACAAATATCTAAATCTTTGGGCTACTAAATAATACTATAGGCCCAAAAACAGTAATTACTTCTGAACGAGTGGCAAACAAATCTATTCCTAAACATATTTATGCTGCCATTAAAAAAGAGTGACACAAGATAAACCATGTTGTTCTTGTATATTTGTTGTCACATTCTTATGTGTATGAATATGGTTGCCTAAAAATAATAAACAATTGAAAGTCATAACATAGAAAATACCCATGTGATATAGATGCCCTAAACAATGTAGATATTCAATATAATTAGCTCTTGAGTCTTGAGGACTTGTTTATTACTATTATGGGATGCTAATGTTTTTTTCTAGGAAATTTCACATCACCGACGGACCTAAATCTACTTGTGGCCAAGGTATGTCGCCTAGAGATGTACCTGGTGACTCCAGAAGGTCTACGGCCAATGAAAGAAATTGGGCTGTATGGCAGAGTGGCTAAAATGAAGCTGTTCAGGCCTCCAGTGAGTAACTATCGGCATTGGACTTTTATATCTTAATATTTTATCATCCCTTAATGTTGAAATTTGTGATATAATAAATTTAAAAAAAAAACACTTAACTTATTTTCTATTCTAGAAGATCTAGATAAAAGTAACACTGCATCTTAGTAAGAATATTATCTATTTTTATTTAATAACTACCCGTTTAACTTACATGTACTTTGGTCAAGAAAGTTTGACTAGTTTCTGGACCATTTGGATCCTTATTCTTAAGTGGCTACTGTTAATGTGTACTTATGACACTTTTAATAACCAATAATATATTATCTATGTTGTTGCATATATTTGATTTGGTGTATATATATCCTTTGGTGTATATTAGATCCAATGTACAGACTTTTACAATAACATATACACCAAATCAAATATGTAGCTGTAAAATCCTTATATTTACCAACTAATGTTGGCCAAACCAAACTTAATCTAACCTATCTGTCCATGAATAGCCACAACTAAACATGGTTAAATATTGTCTATTTAAATTTACCACATCTCTGATGTATGTTATGACTTACCCTCCCATACTCATTTGATGACACAGACATAAAATATATTTTAAAGTCTAATATTGTTTGGAAACAAATATAGATGAAAATTAATTGGATTGATTCTCTGAAAGAAAGGACAATTTTTAACCTAATAAATCCCAATTTAAAATTTCAGTATGAAGACAAAGATTTAGTATTCATATTAACTGCTCGCTATAATGCTATGATATTGGAATGGAGGACTGGCAGCAATGGTGAATTAGAGGTGGTGACAAGAGCTCATGGCAATGTAGCCGACCGTATTGGGAAACCCTCAGAAAATGGCATCTTAGTTGTGATAGACCCACAGGCTAGAGTGATTGGATTGAGATTATACGATGGACTATTTAAAATCATACCACTGGATAAGGATTCCACTGAATTGAAAGCTATTAGTTTGAGGTAATTTATATTCTGTTTTTATGCAACATGGAATAGCAAATTAAATGCTTTGATGTCACCTATAGACTTGAAACCATATAATATATAATGTATATTTATTTATTTTAAAAGGTACATCAACAGTGTAAATACAGAAATTAATTTTAATTGATATACAGGGCTTGCATCTTGCATTTACAGCAATTACAGACATCCACAACATTTATATATATATAATGTGTGTGTGCGTGTGCCTGTATATATATATAATAATTTTGACTACAATTTTAAGGGTTTACCTCTATAATTTTTTCTTATAACATGTTAATCTGTAATTTTTTCTCATAATTTATTATCATCATCATTAGCTCAAGTTATTACTAAAGAAATATCCAGTGACTTTAAAAGATTTCAAATTATTAAGATTATTGGAAGAAAAAAATTAGCTTTGCCACTTTATTTGTATGTACATATATTATACATACATATGTGCTGTTTTTACAGGTTAGAAGAGTTAAATGTTTACGATGTAGAGTTTTTGCATGGATGCTCCAATCCCACATTAATTTTAATACACCAAGATTTAAATGGAAGACATATTAAGGTATGATGAATTAATTAACATTATTATTACCATTAGTATAAAAACCAAGAAATCTATGTAAGAGGGATGACAAAACCAAATACTGTATTTGGTTTTCCTCTAGCAGGAGGCCAGAGATAGACTGTATTTTTTTTTATACAACTTAGAATGGCAAACAAGCTGATGGCCCACCTGATGGAAAGTGGTAACCGTCGCCCATAGATATGAGCAGTACCATGGACATAACAGAGTATACTGTTACGCCCATGATACCCCCCATGCATTACCATTCCTGAGGACTCATATGTTATTCCTCTGTACCCTGTAAATTCACACCATATTCCACCCTTCAAACCGAAACACAGCTATGCAAACACAACTGCTTTACAGTAGAAACATGAATGATACAGAGGTACCCAAGCAATCGACTTTTGTACAAAGTCTCCCTCTGTTAAAAGTATACTGTATAAAAGTCTTTTGCTTGGGCACCTGTTTGCTGTGTTTCTGTTTGAAAGGTGGAATATACCAGTGAAATTACAGGGTACTGAGGTTATGCCACCTTCATCATATCACCTGTTAACTTTCCATTGCTGAACATAAGTCTTACCCTTCAAAGGTTTTTCCAGTAGTTATCACACTACAAGGGATGCTTCTGCACATCGTTCGACCATTAAGTTCCTTTAATCTTTTATGACACCCATGGGAAAGGATGGAGTGGTCCATTCTATGTCGGGACCACATGGCAACACTCTAACATTACTCCTTAGTTGGCAACACATGAATGGTATCATGGGCAACAGTATACTCTATCATGTCTATGGCACTGTTAGTTAGTGTCTATAGGCAACGGTTACCACTTTACATCGGGTGTGCCTTCAGCTTGTTTGCCATTCTAAGTTGCATAAAAAAAAAACGTTAAGAATCAATTGATATGTAAATTTTTAATGTTATGTTGGTATTTAAAATTGTATTGTATATTTCAGACACATGAAATTAGTTTAAGAGATAAAGAATTCATTAAAATTGTGTGGAGACAAGATAATGTGGAAACAGAAGCTTCTATATTGATTCCTGTGCCAAGTCCTCTGGGTGAGATTATTGGATATAATAAAACTAGCTGTTTCCAGCGGCTTTGCCCATGCTAATCATAATAATAATAATTTCTCTCCCTGGGGCCCTGAACCCCGGCCGACTGTGCTTCTGCCGAGGGTTAATTTGCCATCTCCTCTCCTTAAGAGGGGAGATGAGAATTTTCTAGAAATTTAAAAAATAATAATAATAACTTTATTGCATAACCATGATTGCAACAAATAATATATTTATTTACTCTATATTGCACCAATTAAATAATAAAAAAAATATATACAATGTCTAACATTGTACTCCAGGGGGAAAGGGATTGTTAGTAATGTGAACTAATGGCTCGATTGCTAGCAAGCCCTGTCAGGTTGACCTCCACGCGGTTCTCTGGAAACCATTGTGATTAATACTTCTTGCATTCGTCATAACCTGCTTTCATGCTCACCTATCATCCCTTACTAGTGCCCTGCCAATGTATACTGATATCGCAGGCAGGGTTACCATTTCATTATCAACCATTGAAAAAAAAATTTTACTCCGGGGGAAAGTATTATTAGTAATGTGGACTTTGTAGAATTGCTAGCAAGCCCGGTCAACTCGACCTCTGCTTGGTTCTCTCTAGAAACCATTGTGATTCGTGCATTCGTCACAATGAGCTAACTGACCTCCTTTTCATGCTCATCTATCATCTGTCACTAGTACCCCTCCAGTGTATACCGATAGCGCAGGCGGGTCTCACCATTTCATTAGCATCCATTAAAAAAAAATATTGTACTCCTCCTCACTCTATGACTAACATTTAAATTTATTAAACATTCTCTCTTCCCAGGTGGTGCTATTGTGATTGGCCAAGAATCTATCGTGTACCACGACGGTCAGAGTTACGTGGCCGTTGCTCCACCACAGATAAAGGTTTGTTTTTTTTTTTACACTCTCAGTTTAAATCATATAGACTTTCGCGCTAAATATTCTAGAACAAATAGTAATAATATTATTTTTTAAATATATGTTCATTTTTAACAATATGTCTGTGTGTGTGTGTATGTGTGTAAGTGACTACGTGCGCATATGTGTGTGTATATGAGTTTATGTGTTTGTATAACGGGGATTTTATAAATTTCCTTTTAGTCTTTTCCGATTTTTGTTTCGACTTTATTTCTTTTTCAAGGTCAATACAATGCCTACATTGCAATGTCCCATTGCGTGCGCACTTACACACTCACGCACGCACGCACGCACGCACGCACACGCATGCAATACAACAACAAAAAAATAAAAACCCGAAATTGAGTGTAAAGAAGAACTAATCCGAAAAAAAGTCTAAATCCTTTAGCATGTTTCGAATTTCATGGTAATTCGAGATGCATTACTCCATTTAGACATGTCAGTGAGACAGCTGTTCGGAGTTAATCATTTAAACCGTGCATACACTATAATTATTGTCTATTACCGAGGTTACAAATGAAAAATACCTTTTATTTTATGGTTGTACAGTTGACCCCAATAAATTGCTACTGTCGTGTCGATACCCGCGGACTGCGGTACCTACTGGGCGATATAGCTGGTCGGCTGTTCATGTTACTGCTGGAGTTACAGGAGAAAATTGATGGCACGCAAGCTGTTAAGGATCTGAAAGTGGAATTATTAGGTAAGTAGTAATTGTTAATGGGCATGAAGTGTGACTCCCCGTGTGGTCCCGGCATAGAATAAGCCACCCCTTCCTTTCCCGTGGGTGTCATAATAAGTGACTAAGGGAGGGCGAGGGATCGGCAGCAGCTTCCCTCTTAAAACATCTTCAAAGCCTAATTGCTGTAGCCAATCCCTCTGCCAAGTATGGCGACTATTGGCAAACCTCCCCTAGGGGGAGGCTTATGTTCAGCATATATTAATTTTTTTGCCAATTATGAGGGTAATTGAATAAGTACCATACGATTATATTGATGTTGATTTTTGGCACTTTATGCTTGATTCACTGGGTGTTTTAATACTCATACTTTACACTTCTTAACTGTAGTAATTAGTTCAATACCAGAGGGAGACTTTATACAAGTCGTTTGCTTGGCGACTTCTGACCCATTCGTGTTTCAACCGTGAAGCAGTTTTGTTTGCATGGCTGTTTCGGTTTGAAGGGTGGGTTATGGCGTGAATTTACAGGGTACAGAGAAATAACACCTGAGTAATCAGGAATGGCAACGCATGGGGGGTATCATGGACGAAACAGTATACTCTGTAGTTTCCATGGTACTGCTCATGTCTGTAGGCGACGGTTACCATTTTCCATCAGGTGGGCCGTCAGCTTGTTTGTCATTCTAAGTTTTATAAAAAATTTTAGAAACAATATTTGAGTATCAATTAACTTATTCTAATTGTAATCAATTACTGATTTTAACTTCTTGCCCGACCCATCTAAAATAGGATAAAAAGTATTGTCTTTTCTGAGTGTGCGCTGTTTGTGTACCAAACTTTATATAAATACATTCAGACATTTTAACATGATTCGAGTTACAAACCCTGGTGTAGGAGGTAGTGCCCTGCTCTACAAAAAGTCTGGGCAATATATAATTTTTTATTTCTTATTTTATCGCTAATTTTATGTAAATAAGCCTTGGTTTTTCTGTTACAAATAAATTTACCATATCAGGCGACATTCCCATACCGGAGTGCATGACGTATCTGGACAACGGTGTAGTATTCATCGGCTCTCGGCTCGGAGACTCTGCCCTAGTCAGGTTGTCGGCGTCCCGCGACGAGTCCACACAGTACGTGCAGCCGATGGAAAGCTTCACCAGCCTCGCGCCCATCGTTGACATGTGCGTCGTCGACCTTGAACGACAGGGACAGAACCAACTCATCACGTGCTCGGGTGAGTTTAGTGCTACAAGTACGTAAAGTACCCATATTGGTTAAGATATCTGACAAGTGTAAGGTTATTTTTATAAGCGAATTCATGCCTCAGTTTGTAATGTCCAACCGCTCGCATGTGGCTTGGTCTCTGTAGGAATACTTGCTTATGGTACGGTAACAATAACGTTATGTGCTTTCAATGGAGAGCTTTTGCTATCTCTATGTCCATCGCCAAAATATAGATCGTCGATCTGGACTAACTCATTGCCTACTCTTGAGCTCAAATAAATAGTACAGACATTTAAAATGGCAAAAAATGTACAGACGTACCTGGTCCTTCGAGCCGGACTTTTCTTGTATTCTTGATCGTAATCTATATTACAAGCATCACTTATGCACATATGTATATATATAGTGACAAATACTGTTATATGCAATTTGGTGCTTAGACGTTATTTTCTCTAGTAAACTGCTGGACGTAGCCATAAGTGGCGTATCATCATTTCACCATGTTGTGTGCAGGGGCATTCAAAATGGGCTCGCTGCGTATAATCCGTAACGGGATCGGCATCCAGGAGCAGGCGTCGATCGACCTGCCCGGCATCAAGGGCATGTGGGCGCTCACACTCGCGCCCGGCGGCACGCATCACGACACGCTCGTGCTGTCCTTCGTAGGGCAGACCAGGTCAGTGTCCTAATACATATCGACGGTTGAAAGGCAACCTTAACTAAGCGACATTTAATAAATTTTACAGGAGAGTGGTTTAAAGTTGAAATTTTTCAAAAAAAAAATCATAACTATTTACCTGATTGACATATCGAAATAATTTTGACAGTTACGGAAAATATATTTTTTTTGTTATTTTTTGATATCAAAGAAAGTTATCTCGGACTAAAATTTAAAGTATTTTATGTCGGTTAGATAAAAAATACCTAGATTTGGTTACAGGTAAAATTATATAAATTTATCTAAAAAGTTAACAGAAACGAGTAAAAATATCGTTATCCTGATTCATCTAAATCTCCTTACAAGTACAATTATATAAAGACGTATATTAGATTGAACAAAATCAAGTAAAATTGTCTAGGTAAGTTCTTGTATGATTGTTGTGTTAGCAGAATATGTATCTTTAGTTAATAAATTTTCCTAAAATTATCCCAAACTGATTTTCAACTAATCATTTTTAATTATTTATAATGTAATAGCTATAAATAATACTATAAAATTAACAAAAAATATTCACAATAAAACAAGACTAATTTTGCTTTTACATAAGTTTTCTAAAACCTATGTCTTTAATTTTCGTCTATTAAAAATAATAAATGTTTGTTAGAATTATAATAGATTATCTGGTGTTTTATTAAAATTATTATTAAAATAGCAATCTTTAATGTCTGATTTAGAGTTTCATCGTGCTTGTAATGCTAATAAACACATACACATTTTCTATTTCGCGTACAGGTAAATTTATATAAGCGCCATTCGTACTTATTTTAACGAGTCAAATATATGCAGTAAAAATATATACAGCTAAAAGCAAACATATTTTTATACAGGTAAAAATATCTAAGGTATAATTTACTTTAATTTTATTTTTAATTGAATTATATAAATTGCAATATCACAAAATATTACATCAGGTGAAATTACATAACCAAATTATTTATATTTTTTTTAAATAGGTACAATATACTAAAATAGATAAAAACGAAATTTCATAACAAGTAAAAATTCCTACTTGCAAACAAAAGTGAAAGCAAAGATATGAAAAATTAAATAAATCCATATTTCAACTTTTAAAATGGCGTAAGTAATAAATATTCTTTAAATGACATTTTTTTTGTCGCTAAGTAAACATAAAATTGTAAATTTGGCCAAAATCACACAGTACTTAACCGACAAAAAAATTATCGTAGAATTTTAAAACCTAGACCAATCGACGCAGAAAAATCAGGCGATTCGAATGATATATAAAACTCAATTTAGGTATTTTTGTCGCTTAGTCAATTTTGCCTTTCAACCGTCGATATATACAATAAAAACCCCATATCATGATGCTCATTCACATTAAAATTTACTAATAGGATAGTTGTATTCCCGATAAGAAAAAATTACCTTATAGAAGGCTAATTTAACAAAAATTTTCGGGTCAGCTACAAATGATTGTGTTCTAGGTTTTTTTTTAATTACTATTCCCTTTAAAATGAAACATCATCTTGTAAAAAAAAACCACTTGAATAAAACATATGACGTTCATCAAATTTACTTTAAAATATTTTATGTTAAAAGTGTTGTCTGATAACATTGAATTTATCTATGTATAGAGTGCTGACTCTGAATGGAGAGGAAGTAGAAGAGACAGAGATCAAGGGTTTCGTATCAGATCGACAGACATTCTTCACTGGGAACGTGTGTCATGATCAGCTAATACAGGTGAGTTACTAATTTGTTTCAAATATGTATAATTACATAGGTAGTTGATAGCGCTGGCTCATCCAGCTCGAAGGACCAAAATGTTGAAATAGGCCATACCTACCTCAACATTTAGGCATCATGACCTAAATTTCGTTCGCCTAAGATTGGTGACCAGGCCCTCTAGACAAGTGGCAAGCGAATTCGTCGATGGAATCGGCATCGCTAGCGAGTCCGTGAGTTGGAATGAGTCACTCGGCGTCAGACCCAGGGCAGATATCTTCGGTCGAATAAATATGTTTTAGTGCCAACAGTCAGCTCGGACCGTCCACCGAATGTGGCGTGTCACAATAGATCACACACTGCAATGCGACGTGGTCGAACTTTCTTTGACTGAAGATCATCGATTGATCATCGGCAATTGAACAGACGATGAATGTGAGCATCCCGTTGTTTTACATCGATGTAATAAGTAACCTTTCACGAGTGTAACCAAAAATTGCGGGAGGAAAGGAATCGTTAGCAATGAGGTCTAACAGCTTCGTTGCTAGTAATGTACCCTATCAGGGCGATCTCCACGCGGTTCCCCTTGGAAACCATCGTGGTTAATTTTCGTGAAATTCTTCACAATGGTGCCCTGCCAGCATATACCGATAGCGCAGGCGGGGTTACCATTCTAGTATCACCCATTAAAAAATAATCATGACTGTAACTATTATAAAAATAATGTAAAATGCAGTGCCATCTGCACGTACGTAGCTACAAGTGGAAAACAATAGAGAGTCGTTCATTTTGTAATAACCTGTGTAAGTAAGTAAGCAAGCAAGCAAACTTGTTGCTATGCGACGTGTTCGTGTATGGTGGCGGGTGTAACGTGTGCGCGCTCGGCGGACGCAGGTGACGGACGAGGGCGTGCGGCTGGTGGCGCGCGGGCCGGACGGCTGGGCGCTGGCGGCGCAGTGGCGCGTGGGCGGCGCGCGCGGCGTGTCGGTGGTGGCGTGCGGCGCCGCGCGCGCCGTGTGCGCCGCCGGCCCGCGCCTCTACCTGCTCGCCGTGCGCCGCGCCGCGCTCGAGCTGCTCGCGTGAGTACACATACACACATACACACATACTGACACACGCACGCACACGGCGCGCGCGGCGTGTCGGTGGTGGCGTGCGGCGCCGCGCGCGCCGTGTGCGCCGCCGGCCCGCGCCTCTACCTGCTCGCCGTGCGCCGCGCCGCGCTCGAGCTGCTCGCGTGAGTACACATACACACATACACACATACTGACACACGCACGCACACGGCGCGCGCGGCGTGTCGGTGGTGGCGTGCGGCGCCGCGCGCGCCGTGTGCGCCGCCGGCCCGCGCCTCTACCTGCTCGCCGTGCGCCGCGCCGCGCTCGAGCTGCTCGCGTGAGTACACATACACACATACACACATACTGACACACGCACGCACACGGCGCGCGCGGCGTGTCGGTGGTGGCGTGCGGCGCCGCGCGCGCCGTGTGCGCCGCCGGCCCGCGCCTCTACCTGCTCGCCGTGCGCCGCGCCGCGCTCGAGCTGCTCGCGTGAGTACACATACACACATACACACATACTGACACACGCACGCACACGGCGCGCGCGGCGTGTCGGTGGTGGCGTGCGGCGCCGCGCGCGCCGTGTGCGCCGCCGGCCCGCGCCTCTACCTGCTCGCCGTGCGCCGCGCCGCGCTCGAGCTGCTCGCGTGAGTACACATACACACATACACACATACTGACACACGCACGCACACGGCGCGCGCGGCGTGTCGGTGGTGGCGTGCGGCGCCGCGCGCGCCGTGTGCGCCGCTACACAACACAGACACACGCACGCACGCACGCACGCACACATACACAGACACATACACGCATACGCATACATACATACATGCACGCGCACGCCTGCACTCATATACGTACGCCACGCACTCACACGCACACCGACACACGTGCTCATACGCACTCACATGTACGCTCACACACGCACTCACGCACGCGCACGCATTCAGACGCACACGCACACGCATGAATTTGGCACTTGTAATTTATGTATCTCACACGCTTAAATTAATATAGATAGAAAAAACATCGAGCCTCAAAAACGGGTCATCTTTTTGTCAGCTAATTGTCAAATTATACAGCGTAGCTCTACCATAATAAATAAAATTTGTGTCTACACATTAAAAAGGTGCAGAATTTATAAAACAGAATAAATATTAAAATTATAAAGGTATGACTCATACTATTTATCGCGCAGATTTGTATGAAAAAGTTGACCCGCTTTTCATGAAGCATTTATTTATTTATTTATTTAAGGACAACCAACAAAGCATATATTTATATCTACTTAAAATTTATGATAATGTGGTTACATTATAAAATGCTGCCTCAATTAAAGGCCGCCACGACATGCGTATTCATAATATATAATTATTATTAAGAAAATTTATAAAAACTACAATACTAGTTATATAATAATACGGAGACACTATCTATATAATCTAAGCTCACACAATATGCCACTGACAAGTCGAAACTTCTAAACACGATATACTTTAACGCTATCTTTCAATTTGTACAGTGAAGTATGCATGGATGAAGAAGTAGCCTGTCTAGATCTTGGCCCAGGCGGTGACGAAGCGCTACTCGGTGTCGGTCTATGGACCGACATTTCGATCAGAGTACTAAAATTACCAGACCTACGGCCACTGCATATCGAGAAATTATCTGGTGGTAAGTATTCTGTTATTGTGTGTTTATATTCAGGAAAACTAACGTGAAATGACTTAATCAATCCGGCTCGAGGGACCACAATGTACGGACGTAGATTGTGGTCCTTCGAGCAGGCAGTCTGTAATTATTGTATTGATTAATATTGGATAATAATTAAATCACAGTAAATAATTATGGTTACAAAGTGATAAATGCTACCACAATTTGCTTTTAAAGTGAGTTTTTTGGGTTCACATGTGCCTTGGTTTAGGTTCTTTGAAACCGAAATTACGGTTTCAGTCCCTTTTATAGCATAAAGAGCAAACAAGTATGTCGAAGTATACACGTCTCAAAGAATTACAAAATGTTAAATTACAAAATATAATGATTTTTTTATGTATATATAGAAATAATACCGCGGTCGCTGCTGATCTGCGTACTAGAGGGCGTGTGTTACCTGCTGTGTGCATTAGGCGACGGCTCCATGTTCTACTTCACTGTGGACCAGCAGACCGGCGCGCTCGCCTGCCGGAAACGCGTCACGCTCGGCACTCAACCCACCGTGTTGCGCAGCTTCCGGTAATTTTTTTTTTTTTTATAATACGATATAATTTCTCTTATATACTAATTAATAAATGTACAATATGGCAACCCTATTCACGCACACATGGATAAAAAAAATTACCTGTTTTTGGCGAAGCATTTGTATGGAGACACTATTACTGTGTGGTCCCGGCATAGGCAGGTGGCTTTTCCGTGGGTGTCATAAGAGATAGCTAAGGGAGGACGAGGAATGGGCAGCAGCGTTCCTCTTAAAACATCTCCAAACCTTAAATGTGGTTGTCAACCCGTCTGGATTTACACAACAGCATTGGCAGACGCTAAGCATGGCATCTACTGGCAAAACCCACCAAGGGGGAGGCTTATGTTCAGCAATGAACATAATGTAAGCAAAATTTTAGTTTAATAATGTATTTATTTAATAATTAATAAAAATTATGTAATTCAACAGATCTCTGTCCACAACAAACATATTTGCATGCTCGGACCGTCCAACGGTGATATTCTCATCGAACCACAAGTTGGTCTTCTCCAACGTGAACCTCAAGGAGGTGACCCACATGTGCTCGCTGAACGCGCTCGCGTACCCGGACAGGTGGGTACATGCACATCATCATCATCCTTCTGCTCTTATCTCAATTATTTGGTGTCGGCGTAACATGTCCAGTTGTTTGTTGTTTAACATTTTGAGTCCAACATAACCTTCAAGAAAAGAGTATATTCATTTTTTAAAAGGCCGGCAGCACATCTGCAATGCCGCTGGTGTTGTGGTTGATCATGGGCGGCGGTAGTCACTTACCACCAGGTGAGCCGCATGCTCGTTTGCCCCCTGGGTTGTAAAAAAAAATCTTCATTGAGAACTTTTTTTTTAATGCAACTTAGAATGGCAGACAAGCTGACAGCCCACCTGTTGGAAAGTGGTAACCGTCGCCTACAGTATCATTGAATAAAAAAGTATATTTATATACTTACACAAACAAACGGTAGTCTATAGCGTATGAACGCTATAGATATGAATATATAGGATATACCTTTATAACAGTGAAAGAATTTTCAAAATCGACTCAATTGTACCGAAGGTTACCCTGAACATTCAAACTCGCAAACTTTATCATTTTATAATAGATAGATAGATAACCTTTTTATTTGAGCCATTTATGACACACGTAAATTAACAAATGAGTTTATACAATCGCATTATATACACTTTTTAAAATATACAATTAAAGATAAAATATAAAAATATGGTTTCGTAATATTAGTATTAATATAGATAAATTATAACTATGTACATCTTTGTGTACAGTAATGTATAAATAATAATTATAATAGAACGAGAAAATATCTCGACCTGGCTCACGAGGTGACCGAAATGTGGGGGGTGACGTCTTATCCCCACTGGTCTGGAACGACATCTCAGACGGTTGGGATTCCGAGGCGGCTCACTTCCGGGAAAGATGCAGAAAGCAGTGCTTTTAGATTCTGCCCGCATTGTACGCCGGTTTCTCTCCCTGGGGCCCTGAACCCCGGCCGACTGTGCTTCTGCCGGGGGTTAGTTGCCATCTCCTCTCCTTAAGAGGGGAAATGTGAATTTTGTAAAATTTAAAAAATTATAATAATTTAAATGTGTAGTTTGGCGCTAGCGACAGACAGCACGGTGACCATCGGCACCATCGACGAGATACAGAAGTTGCACATCCGCACCGTGCCGCTGGGCGAGACGCCGCGCAGGATCGCCTACCAGGAGGCGTCGCAGGTACCTACCGCCTCATCACTTTCTTCTTCTTTCCATTTAAGAGTTTCCTCTTGTCGGTACAACTAATCCATGCATCTTCTTCCAGCCAGCTCTATCCCACGCCATATCCATACCTCCCTATACAACATGACATCTAGTGTTTCTTTTATCTATCCCGTGTAATTATTCCTCAGTCTTCCTTTTCGTCTATTGCTCAATTTATTCGATTGGTTTAGGTTTAAAGATTAGTGCGTTATAATTTAACATGCTTGTTTTATTATGTTAGTGTAGATATTAACTTATTATAAAGTTATCGTGTTTCCTTAAAATTAAAATATATTTTTTTTTGTATTTCTGTTTGAGATTTTTCTTTTATTATCATGTTATTCATTTATTTATAACAGGAAAATTAAGGCTTATTTGCATAAAAATAATGGTAATATAATAATAATAAACTCATTTACAGATTTTCACCATTAGACATAGAATAGAAAATTTGATAGTGTTTGTATTAGATAAAAAACTTAAAAGTATCATTTATTCTATATATCTTATAAGTAATAGGCAATACATAACAAACACATGTCTTGTTTTTTTTTTACCTGACACCTCTAAAATGTTTGAATATTGAAATGGACGGTTGTAATTTTGTACGCAGACGTTTGGCCTGCTGACGATGCGCGTGGACAAGGTGGAGTGGTGCGGCGGCGGCGGCGAGGCGGCGGGCGAGGCGGCGGCGGGTGGCGGCGGTGGTGCTGGTGTAGGCGGCGGCGGCGGCGTGGTGGCGGCGCGAGGCAGCGCGTCCACGGCGGCGGCGAGCTGCAGCGGCGCGGCGCCGCAGCAGCCCAAGCACGCGCCCAACGCACTCGACCTGGAGGTGCACAACCTGCTCGTCGTCGACCAGCACACCTTCGAAGGTACCGCGCCATCTCTTTTTTTTTTCTATACAACTTAGAATGGCAAACAAGCTGACGGTCCACTTGATAGAAAGTGGTGACCGTCGCCTATAGACATGCGCAGTATCATGGACATAACAGAGTGTACTGTTTCGCCCATGATACCCCCCATGCGTTGCCATTCCTGAGGACTCGGGTGTTATTTTTCTGTACCCTATAAATTCACTGCCATATTGCACCCTTCAAACCGAAACACAGCCATGCAAACACAACTGCTTTACGGTTGAAACACGAATGGGACAGAGGTACCCAAGCAATCATTCAACCATATAATGTTATGTACACATACTTGGCAAGAATAAAAAAATAATAGAGATTACAAAAGCCATCTGCAGAGATACCATTGTCTTGCCACTGTGTCGCTATTTCAGTTTAAAAATAGATATATGACAGTTAAGTTACAGTATATGGGAATATTAACTCCATAGTCCCCAAAAATGGCAATACATGAAAAATACCATAAATATGGTATATTTCATATACTCTGTGATGTCCATGATGGCACTATTCATGTCTATAGACAACAATCACCACTTTCCATTAAGTAAACTGACAATTTATTATGTATTTTAAATTGAAATGAAATAAGAAACAATTTTATGTCAAAATCCTGTTAAAAAAAATAGCAAAACCAATATCAGTGCCACATTAGTAGATTTATTTAACAGTTCACTTCAATAAATGAATACATAATAAATAACTACGTTATAAGTTCAGCGTAATAGGTGCAGCTATGTACAGCCATATGACCGCTATTAGTCGCGGTTTGACTACGTAGACGGGTTATTACAAAATGAACGATTCTCTATTGTTTTCTACTTGTAACTACGTACGTGTAGATGGCAATGCATTTTACATTATTTTTATGATAGTTACAGTCATATGGGGGGGGGGGGGGAAGGATTGTTAGCAATGGAGTTTGCCGGCCCATTTGCTAACAATACGCCTTATTAGGTCAACCTCCACGTGATTGCCCCCTGGAAACCATCGTGAACAATTCTTGTTGAATTCGTCACGATGGGCTAACTGACCTGCTTCATCCTCACCTATCATCCTTCGCTGGTGCCCCGCCGGTGTATACCGATAGTGCGGGTGGGGTTACCATTCTATTATCATCCATTAAAAAAAAAGTATGCTACGCGACTACTTCACTTATTTTGTACCAATCATCACAATTCTTATTGCAATTACTGGAACAAAAAGTGATCACGTTTTCAAACCAGGTAACTAGTCTGCCTGACAAATGTTTAAGATTATAAAATCTTAAACTTCAGACATACTTATTATTTCACCTTGATTGCAGTGCTCCACTCGCACCAGCTTACGTCGTACGAGTTTGCGATGTCGCTGGTGTCGTGCCGGCTGGGTGACGACCCCAACCATTACTATGCCGTCGGCACCGCCATACTCAACCCGGAAGAGTCCGAGCCCAAGCAGGTCATTCACCGCACTCACACTCACGCTGCACACTCACACACGCTACACACTCACGCTGCACACTCACACACACACGCACAGACTACATACTCATCACACTCACTACTCAGCCATCACACTCACTACTCAGCCATCACACTCACTACTCAGCCATCACACTCACTACTCAGCCATCACACTCACTACTCAGCCATCACACTCACTACTCAGCCATCACTCACTACATACTGTTTTCGACACTACGTACTACTACGTTCGTACTCACCGCTCACAGCGCTCACTAGTCACCGCACTTATTACGCACTCACATAATAATATACTATGTTTACGTTAATTCTCTTAAGAGTAGGCGGAGAGCAAGCACCAAATGCCAAAGTAGACTTTGTACAAAATTAGTCTTCACGATTGTTTTTATTTGATTCGTGTTTCTGCTACCAAGCAGCTGTACTTGCTTGGCTCTGTTTTAGTTTAAAATGCAGGATATGGCAGTGAAATTAAAGAGTGCAAGCCATGCAGGGTAGTATATGCGTCTTCATTTTATTTAAATTATTAAATATTTATATTCATGGTAGTCATGTCTATAGATAATGGTTACCACTTTCCATCAGGTGGACCGTCAGCTTGTTTGCCATTGTAAGTTGTATGAGTATTAAATGAGTTTTACACATTAAAAAGATGCAAAAATTATAAAACAAAATAAATATAGAAGTTATAAAGGAAGCACTTATTTATCACGCAAAATTGTATGAAAAAGTTGACCTGCTTTTCTCGAAGCGTTTATATAGAGACATTATATCTATATAATCTAAGGTTGAATCTTATATTTGTAATTAAATAATCATCTCTGTGTGTCTGTCTGTCGTACTCTCGATGTTTCAAAGCAGACTTTTCACTTAACAGGGCAGATTATTGTTGTTCCACTGGTCTGAAGGGAAGCTGGTGCAAGTGGCCGAGAAGGAGATCAAGGGAGCTTGCTACTCGCTCGTTGAGTTCAACGGGAAGTTACTCGCGTCTATAAACAGTACGGTCAGTAACATTTCATTTTTGTTTATTGTTAAATATTTTTGTAATTGTATGTGAAATTTAACACAAAATAAATATTTCTTTCCTTCTATAAACTGTTTGTACAAAATACCATGTACATTGCAGGTGCGACTGTTCGAATGGACATCAGACAAAGAGCTACGACTAGAATGCAGTCATTTTAACAACATAGTTGCACTGTTCCTTAAGGTCAAAGGTGATTTCATACTGGTCGGCGATTTGATGCGATCCATGTCTTTACTACAGTACAAACAAGTAAGTTCAGTAACTTTTACAATAGAAATGTTCTACTAAAAAAAATTTGCATATTAAGCTAACTTGGGTCAATGCAGCCAGTATTAGAAATTTTAAAAAATTACCCCTCAAAGGGCTTTATTTATATATTTTTTTAATTATTTTACAATGTATATTTTAGTTAATTTTAACGTAGGCAATAAAAAAGGCAGGTATATAGATTTTTCATCGCTTTAAATCCCAAATGTGTATTTAAAATAACTCTATATTTTGCCAATAGATGGGGTTAAAGAGAAAAATACGTGGTAAATCTAGGTGTGATTCCTTCCGTCACTACAGAGGAATAACAACTGAGTCCTCAGGAATGGCAACGCATGGGGGGTATCATGGGCGAAACAGTATACACTGTTATGTCCATGGTACTGCTCATGTCTATAGGCGACGGTTACCACTTTCCATCAGGTGGGCCCTCAGCTTGTTTGCCATCCTAAGTTGTATAAAAAAAAAAACCAACCGGGAATCGAAAACGAGACTTGATTTACGCAAAACAACGTGCAAAAAAATACTACAATAATAAGGTCGTTGACAGCTAGTTCTTAATAAAATGTTGCATTTTATTTGTTCCCTTTCAGATGGAGGGCAGTTTCGAGGAGATCGCCCGCGACTACACGCCCAACTGGATGACCGCCGTCGAGATACTGGACGACGACACGTTCCTCGGCGCCGAGAACAGTTTCAACATATTCGTGTGCCAGAAAGACAGGTTGGTGCCGCTGGTGTTGTCCGCTTTGTGATGATAGACGTGGTTTAGAGGGGGAGGGGGCACTTTACAATTGTCTGGTGCCCGCCCTAAGGTCAGGTCCGCAGATTACAGCTATACTTATTAAAGGGCCATTATATCAAAGCATTTAATTTTTTTTAATGTAAAAAGATTTATATTTTTAGACTAGCTATTGCCAGCGACTTCGTCCGCGTTTCTGTCGTTTTTGGTAAAATAAGTAGCCTATGTCCTTCCTCGCGGTTCAGTGGTTTTGATGTAACAGACACATTTCCCTTCACTGCTCTGCTCCTATTGATCGTAGCGTGATGAAAAGTATAGTCTGTTGCCGACATTAAAACGTATAGCTTGTTAAACTGTGTATATTAAAACAATAAACAACACCAGAGGAAGACTTTGTACAAAAGTCGTTTGCTTGGGTACCTCTATCCCATTTTTGTTTCAATCATAAAGCAGCGGGTCTACTATGAATTGAAATTCCGAAATTTCGGACTCAATTTCGTGTTTTTGTTTATACCAAAATCAGACCAATAAATGGAGTTTAACATTTCTTTCGTCATACATCCTATCATAAAAGTCCAAAGGAACAATATTTTAACATTTTTAATATTTCCAAACGGCATGTATTATGTAATTTTAACATCAAACTTGTGTTTCGTTTGGCTCCGAAATTTCGGAAAACATTTCATGGTAGGCCCTCAGCTGTGTTTCGGTTTGAAGGGTGGGATATGGCGTAAATTTACAGGGTACAGAGGAATAACACCCGAGTCCTCAGGAATGACAACGCATGGGGGTATCATGGGCAAAACAGTATACTCTGTTATGTCCAAGGTATTGCTCATGTCTATAGGCGACGGTTACCACTTTCCATCAGGTGGGCCGTCAGCTTGTTTGCCATTCTAAGTTGTATTTTTTTTTTTTTTTTTTTTTTACAACACAGGGGGCAAACGAGCATGCGGCTCACCTGATGGTAAGTGACTACCGCCGCCCATGATCACCCACAACACCAGCGGCATTGCAGGTGTGCTGCCGGCCTTTTAAAAAGGAATATACTCTTTTCTTGAAGGTTATGTTGTCGTATCGGTTCGGAAATACTGCTGCTGGAAGTTGATTCCAAAGAATGGTTGTGCGTGGAAGAAAGTGCCTTGAAAAACGCACGGTGGAAGACCGCCACTCGTCCAGATGATTGGGATGAAACTTTAGTTTGTGGCGGGTTGTACGGTGGTGAAAATCAGCAGCAGGTATCAATCCGAACAATTCCTCAGAACACTCCCCATGATAAATTCGGTAGAAGATGCACAGAGATGCAACATCTCTGCGCAGTTTCAGTGGATCAAGCCGGACAGTAAGGCGTTGACTATCGATAATTCGAGCCGCCCGAATAAAAAAAAACCCTAATCAGTATAACAACAATGTCACCATCATGAAAAGTAATAATTTAAACAATAAATACACTAAAATTGATAATAATATGATTGGCGTCGGTTCATTTCCGGCAGCGCGGCGACGACGGACGAGGAGCGGCAGCAGATGAGCTACCTGGGCCAGTTCAACGTGGGCGACATGGTGAACGTGATGCGGCTCGGCTCGCTGGTGGGCCAGCACGCCGACACCGCCGCGCCCGTCTCCAACCCCGTGCTGCTGGCCACCGTCACCGGCGCCATCTGTGAGACATCAGCCTCAACATCGTTATCGTCATTATCCTACGCCTCCACATTATTATACACATCCGTGTATAATGTCATGGCAAAGAAGCTGACCCGTCCATTTAATGAAAATTAGTATAAATTGGCCGTGCGGTCCCGGCATAGAATAAGTCACCCCTTCCTTTCACGTGAGTGTCGTAAAAGCCAACTACGGGAACTTAATAGTTGAAGGATAGGCAACAGTGTCCCTCTTAAAACATCTCTAAAGCCTAACTGCAGTTGCCGAACCTCCTGCTAAACGTGGCAACTACTGGCAAATCTATCATGCGTTGCCACATTTGACAAATGGTATGCAATATTTCAGGCCTGGTCGTCCAACTATCACAAGAGTTATACGAATTCCTTCACAAACTAGAAGAAAGATTGACCCACACGATAAAATCGGTTGGCAAGATCACGCACGTGTTTTGGCGGTCGTTCAACACGGACATTAAGACGGAGCCCGCGGAGGGATTCATAGACGGAGACCTCATCGAAAGCTTCCTCGATCTCTCCCGGGAGAAGCAACAAGAGACGGTCAAGGGCTTGCAGGTTAGTTGTTTAAATTTAATGAATGAATGAAAACTCTTTATTGTTCCCTTCAATAAATGATATAGATTAACAATATGTATACAAACAAAATTAATGCTTAATTAAGACAATAATGGGTGGCTTTATTGCTAAATAGCGATGTATTATATATTATTTTCTCAAACATGCTTGGAAATGTGAGCATTATTTTGACAATCTTCTTCGAGATAAATCAAAATTGCCGTACTGGCCAGATACATGCGGGCAGCGGCCGGCAAAAGTTGTATGAAAATCCATATCTGTCGTATTTTGCGGCCAGATAAATTACTATGTAAACTCATATCTGTCCTGTAATTTAAAAATGGAATGACCTTTTACTTCGAAACATGGCTACCAAGGAGGTAACTAATAAAAGGTTTTATTTAAATTTTGAACTGGCTTACAAATAGAAAGCTGTTTATTGAAAAAAAACGAACATTATGGCGCGTGAAAAATTATTATTGTTAATTGTCATTGAACTTAAAAAGTAAAATTGTGTTTTTGATTTCCGCGCATTGTTTGAGAAAAGTACTAGACAAGCTTTGGCCACAACTAGGCATTGATGGAGTCACGTATGTGTGCCTCGGCTATGCCTCGGCCCACATTTGCACGTTTGTCCATCAATGCCTCAGTTGCTGGCCGCTGCAGTAATGTACTATTTTTGTACGCAATACCTTCGTAAATAAAATTCGACACGAATGTTATTCTATTCCAGATCGATGATGGCGGCGGAATGAAGCGGGACGCGACTGTAGACGACCTTATAAAGATAGTAGAAGACCTTACGAGAATACACTAGAGCGATATAATTGTTTCATATAATAAATACTTTACGTACTTCATACTTGTTTTGATTGCATAACCCATCATCTTCACAACAAACAACATACACGCAAAATTTGCAATTTATAATTAACCATTAATTTTGCATTTTTTGTTTGCTTTGCAATACTTCCCGACTTTTATAAAAATAAATTTTATATCTATGATGAAAAATACGATAACGGCAATACATAGATATGTCATAGTATAGTATTATATTATCTGTGGTCATAGCAATTTTTTTTATTTAATTTGGCAATGAACTAGTGTTGCCTAATAGGCCACTTACAACAAACGGGAAATAAAGGAACATATATGGGATAGGTTTTTCTAGTGATCTTTAATTGAAGTTTTAAGTTTTTTTTTATGCTATTATTACTAAAAAATAAAGCTAGTGTTTTGTAAATATGATATCAGGTCAGGATGAGCTAATAAACATAAGAGAGAATTAGGAAATGGTTCAAGATAAAAATTTGTAAATGAGGAACGATTATAAAAGGCACAGGAGAAAAATAGTTTAAATCACCACGTCCGCACCGCACTCGTAACCATATAGACTATTTAAACGTTTGCCAAATGAGCAGGTATACAAACATGGCCATTATTGGCATAGCATACGTATTATTGCGCGTATTAAAGTTTTATTAAATTGTACATAACCCAAGGTTTTGTAGGAATTTATAGTTGAATTTTATAATAATTTTACCCTTTTCTGTGACTGCTAGTAGCCTCCCAAGACTGATGTATACATATTATTATGTAGTGTCGTTAGTACAGATATATAATGTAATTTATTTTATAATTTTTGGTAATTTAAAGAAAGAAATTTTATAGAATCTATTAATGAATACTAACATTAGTTTTAAGGAATGAGCTATTTTACTTAGAATGACAAACAAGCTGATGATAAAAAATAGTAACCATCGCCTATAGACATGAGCAGTACCATGGACATAACATAGTATATTGTTTCGCCCATGATACCACCCCATGCGTTGCCATTCCTGAGGACTCAGGTGTTATTCCTCTGTACCCAGTAAATTCACTGTCATACACCTCCCTTCAAACCGAAACATAACTAGGTCACTGTAGAAACACAAATAGGACAGAGATGCTCAAGAAAACGACTTTTGTACAAAGGCTCCCTGTGGTTTGTATTAGTGAAGAGACTATCACGGTCAATCATGTACGATGAGTATTTTAAATAAGGAAAGATCCAAAGCTTTACAGCTTTGATTAATGACGAATAAAAAAAAAAAAGTGATATTTGCATATAATGACATTTATTATAATACAATATATACAAACTGCTTATCCATAAAAATTACAAACGTCTAATGAATATATTTTAGCTCTAAAAGCCTAGACTAATAGAATAAATCAATTAATTCATTAGTTTAGGCTTTAACAAAAAAAAAAAGAACTCCATTACATGTAGATAAAATATATTAATAATTATTTGACGTTTTACATTTTTATGAAACTTATTACAATTTTATTGTATCATAAAAAAAATACACAGTAAGCCCACAAAAATACAAACGAACCCTGTTCATAAATGATAAACATTAGAACGACAAAAATAACATTTTAAATGCAATAAATTACGCTTCTCTCTCGCGCGTCTATTATTAATCCTTATTTTGTACATAACTTTTTTTTTTATACCACTGTGGTGGCAAACGAGCATACGACCCATCTGATGGTAAGCGGTTACCGTAGCCTAAAACGCCTGCAATACCAGGGGTATTACGCGCGCCTTGCCAACCCTGAAGAAACCTCTTTATCTCTTTTTGCAGAACCCCATACTGTAGTCTGTTGGATACTAAAACATGGTGATATTTTGTACATAGAAAAATACTTTTTGTAATATATTATTGTGGGGGGGAAAGGGATTGTTAGTAATGGAGTTTGACAGCCCCATTCCTAGCAGTATGACTTATTAGGTCGACCTCCACGTGGTTCCCCTTGGAAACCATCGTGAATTCTTGTTGAATTCGTCACGATGGGCTGACTGCCTGTTTCATCCTCACCTATCATCCTTCACTGGTGCCCCGCCGGTGTATACCGATAGCGCGGGTGGGGTTACCATTCTATTATCATCCATTAAAAAAAAATATTATTGTTTACATAAATCTACATATTCTTTTTTTCTAAATTAAAAAAAAAAATCTACATAACTTCATCTGTATTGTGTTAACAGTAGTAAGTAATTTTCTTCGTATTTTTTAAATTTGGAAATAAAGTAGCATTCTTTAAACAAAATAAAAAAAAACTCTAACAACTACATAACAAAGTAACTACACCAAATTATTTTTGTCTATTTTTGACCTCTAAAGGATCTAATTATACCGCATAATTATACAAAACATAATATAAGAAAATTATATATAATAATTAAATTGACTAATAATTAAATTAAATTGACTTTAACCTCATAGCAATTTATGGGTATAATTGAAAAAAATCTACATTAATTAATTATTATTGAATAACAGTTTTTCAAGTAAAAAGTACATTTTCCATTATTAACATATAAAATATATATAACATATAAAATGTAACCATAATTTTTTTAATGTCTTTTTGTACCAAAATAAAATAAAACATATATGAATTAAGTATTTATTTCAAAAATAATTCTTATATAGGAATGATTTATTATATATAAATAAAAACAATATAACTCATATTTATTCGTCGAAAATATTTCTTAACACTTCAAAACACGGAATATAAGCCGTGAAGTGGCGTGATGATCACGTGGTATAAAACATGATGTGTTATATTTATACTTTATATGTATATGCGGATTATTAGAAACTGTCGATGCTTGCGCGTCGATGGGGTCCCTAATGCGCAAACAACTTTATTATAGTCAATTATTATTAGTAGAGAAGATCCTCTAGAGCTCAAAAATCGACGCCCATATTATTTTTTTACCGACTTCAAAAATGGGAGAATATTTTTTTGTGTATATAATTATATTATGCGATATTCTTGTATTACTCTCACACAAATTTCTAGATTTTGTCTTTGGGAAATATTTTAAATTATTCACTCGCCCACCACAGACCACAAAGGATGACCAGTTAACAAAAATGGATTGCAAAATCGAGGACAATTGACCATTAAAAAGGGCGGCAAATATTTTTGCCAGGAACGGCAAAATTGCTAGGCACTGGATAAGTTTGGTGATAAAATTTTGTTTAATAACTAGGAATAAATTTTGCTAATTATATTTATAACATTCCAGTATGAGAATAATCCCAATACATTTTGTTTTAAATGAATCAAGAATGAATAAATATATTGTTGAGTATAGTTGCAGTAAACATAGGAAATGAGTTCATGAGTCGTTAATCTCTCCAATATGTTATACTATCACAGACAACTATGGACCTAACTTTGTCTGTAACATACATATATGCCTCTAGCAAACTATATTTATCTAAACATTAAGCAAAGCCTCTGAAAATCGATTATTTTACAAATAATCACGATCAGTGTTTTGACATGCAAGCTGGTAAAGTTCAAAGGTACCTTTTACCTTTCATTGACTCGCTTGTCAAAACACCAAACATTAGAAGCTCGTCTTTAATACACAAATACAGTATTATGCACCTACTTCCTGTATTTGTCAGCTTTATTTCGTAGGAACCACATGAGTGCAAAGAGACAAGCTGGTGGACTAGTCAGTGGGCCAGGCGAGTTGACCATATCCTCAATTTCTGGTATTGTCTTCTCTACTACTTCTATTATCTCATCGTCTACTCCACCACCTGTAACATGCAAAATTCTATTAAAATCTTCAAGATAAATTAATAATAATTCATTGTCATCATGTGAAGCTATTGCCATAAGTGCTATCACAGTATAAGAAAAGTCAGTGATACAACACCTTGTTACCCAAATAATTAGGACATGTTGCTCTGTCTAGATTAGTGTTTTCCAACTTTTTTTGTGCCATGCCCCACTTGAACATTTCTAAAATTTTTATTTAACGACTCTAATCGCCCAGTTGATATTTTTGTAATGTCAAATGAAATTATACCTAATAAATATTTATAGCATTTTTTTATTTACTTTTTTTTGTTAAATTTGACACCTATATTTACTCCTAGCATTGCATTTAAATGGCTCGGAGCAAGAGGGTTAAAATCGCTTCGAGTCCATTTTTTAATTGTCCCCTCTTAACTATCACATTGCTCCCCTGTGGGGCGTGGGCCCCACGTTGGGAAACATTGGTCTAGATGTATCTGTTGGACAATTGATAGGAGAGTTTTATAAACTGGTATTGGTAGTACTATATTGTCTTTAACATCAATTATACATCAGGGAAATCTCATAGTGAGATTAGTCTACGTTTTACTGACGCTGAGGATAACTTTAATACAGTTCATACATATAACACTGTACATAAACATAGTATGACATTACTACACAACATAGATAGATACTCTTTATTGTTTTCTCCAAAACATTGCAATAGTAAACTTATTATAGATACAAACAATTATAAGAAATAATCACAGTGAGAAAACAATGGGTGGCCTTACCACTAAAAACCATCTTTTCCAGGCAACCTTTAGATGGAGAGGAGTAACTTTAGATAAACATTTTGATTCAATCATTTCTAAATATGAAGATGTGATACATGTAATAATGTAAACAAATATCCCTAAAGTATCCCTTTTTTGCATACCTTGTTCTGTCTTCATATCATCAGTCACTTCACAGTAGTACAATGTTTGTAAAGCACCCTGTACACCAACACCAGACCTGAAAATTAGAGTTCTAATTTATCATTTGATTTGATATGAAGAGGGATTCTCTTCATAATGAATGCACCTTAGCTAACAAAATACACTAAATCCTTATATCACAACAAAAATTTGTTATAAATGCGAAAGTTTGAAAGGATGTGTGAGCTGTTTTTTAATCTTTCCTGCAAAACACACTGAACGGATTTGAATTAAATGTAGTACACTACCTGTATATAATATTTTGTAAAGTTATATCCTAACATCAGACATAGGATATTTTATGTACTGATTGGCACAGGCAAAACTGTGGAAAATAGCTAGTAAATATCTAAATGTAAAATTTACTCCTAACCTGCTCATATCAATCTAAGTTAATTCTTTATATATTAAAGGAAATTTAAATATTTTAAATACACTATCGAGACTTAATGTTGTGAAAAATTCTTGCAAGTAAATGGTACCTACATACCTGTTTCTTTATTTGCTAAACTTTAGTTTTTTTATTCCTTATAGTGTATTTAAATACAAATACAAAAAAAAAAAACTTTGTTTGAAAGTGGTATAAAGGATGGTATATAATATTTAAATTTTGTTCACACTTTTCACCAAGATCTGGCATACAAAATTTATATAATTGTACTACTTTACTATGCTATGTATGTCACATATTTACTTATATCATCATATTTTATAAATGTCAACATATTTACTTATTAATAATAAATTATACAGATTACAAATTACAATCAATTAATTGAGTCACATATTTATAAATATGTGTCAACAAGGCAAAAATTTAAAATTTAAAATAATCTCTAAATTAACACTAATTGTAAACATTATTGTTATTGTTTAAAGTAATAAGCCAAGTTCTTACCTGTATGAAATAATTCTATGCAAGTCTTTAAGTTCAACATTATATCCACACTCTTCTAACACCTCTTCTCTTGCTATCTCATCTACAGATTTATCCTTGTCTACGATACCCGCACACATCTCTAGTGCTATGCCCAGTGAAGCTGGATACTTTTTTGTGTCAATGAATTCAGCTTTTCTGTCTTCTGGTTTTATACAATTATAATAAATGGCTGGAACAAAAGCAATTAATTGAAATAGTAATTATATATTTAGATAATTTTATGTTCCAAAAAATAAATATGAAAATGAGTGCATACATTTGAGGGTAAATGAGCTGTGGAGAAATTTATGAATGTTTATAATATAATAAAAGTAAATAAATCAATAACAAGCAAAAATATATTGAGCTCACTCCAAAAGCTGGAAAAAGGTCTTAAGAATAAGAAATTAATATTGTGCATTCTGGATTCATTTAGTTAAGCATTTAAAAAATGGAATTGCATGAGTAACATAAAGTTCTCCTAACAGTATGCTAGAAGTGGTTATTTACATAGGGTCAATTACTGACTCCAAATTTGAAATTGGTTACTGTTAATTCTCCACTAGCATCATACAAATTCATTTCAGGTTAGTGCCAACGTTGCACTAACCTGAAATGAGATCTACAAGGGCTCAAAAATAGAATTTTTAAATAAGTAATAACTACAACTATTACCTCCATCTCTTTTTTTATGCAACTTACAATAGCAAACAAACTGATGACCCTCCTAATAGAAAGTGGTAACCATCACCTATAGATATAAACAGTTTATTGAACATAACAGAGTACACTGTGTTGCCCATGATATATGTTACATCTAAATATTACAGGTCAATTTTCACCACCAACACTAACCTACAGCACTGAGAAACTTGGTCAAATATAGTTTTGTGTGATGCTATAAAGAAGGGTAAAGTGGAATAGTTGACATGACAACATAAAATCGTTAAGGTTACTCATTTACTGCATCTAATTGAATTCTTGGATGTAGGGGCACTGTGCAAATATTAATGTGAAAATAGGATAATAATGATAATAAAATCTCATACCGGGACGGAATTGTTTAACAAAAATCATGACTCTTCGTGTAACATTAAAAACTATGATAGCAACGCTATCATGAACTTCTAGTATGTCCCAAGTCTTCTTTTGGCCATTCTGGGTAAAGTTAAACCTAAACGGCTTTACGTAAGGAGAGTCAGGCAATGGAGTGAAGAAAACTTCTTTGATATCTTCCATGGTTTTTAAACTTGGACCTTTATGTAATATACAAAGAAAATAATATACTATAATGATAATATAATTCTAAATAATTAATATTCTTTAAATAAAAATTAAAATCTTTATTAAATGAAGTTAATAGCACAATAAATAATAAATTTAGACAGGTCTTTTGGTTAAAAAAGATTTAATTACAGATTAAGTAATATAATTTAAATTTTTTGGTAATTTTGATTTAACTGAGATTGACATTGATTGACATTTTCATCATGACTTAGAGAAGACACTTTTCTTGTATTGCTAGAACTGAAAAACATCTGTGCAAGCATTTTAAAGCAACAACAGAATATAAAAAATATTCATATTAGCAGTACTACTTTAAAATTTGTGCAAACAACTATTTATTAATATAAGAAAAAGAAATTGGTTGTTGCACTCACCGAGACCACGATCCGAATCTGGTATTAGACTTATCTAAACCATTGCAAATAGTATTAGTCACTCAAAAACAGTTAAAATATTTAAAATAATAGGAAAGTGTAAAACGGTTATTTTTTTATTCTATTATTTTTTTATTAGAGAGGCGTTGCTGGGATGCATATTGCCTGGTTGCCTGCCATTGAATCAAAGAGGTTCTTAAGATTTATCAAACGCCATTAATATAAAAATTAATATTGATAGATATTACTTTATATCCAAATATTTTACAGTATAAAATTTTTAAATCCAATAAACTAGTTTCATAAAATATATTAAATGATTTTAATTCTAAGTGATATAGACTGTAAATATAAGATTAGATTGATAGGCAAAGTAATCGAATGTAAAGGGGTTATCAATTTAGCATTAAAATATCAGTTAATTGTCAGTCAGTACGTCAGTACAGTGTACACTGGAACAAATGAGGATGGAAGTACTGTTCACCGTCTATAAATAAAGGAATTCGTAAATGGTCATATAATATACGCATTGTTTGGTCATATAATATAGATGCTTGAATTTTAAAATGGATGTTGATTCATACGATGTTTTTTGTATTTAATGTAAAATTTGTTAGAGGCTATAATGTGTTATTAATAACGAAAAAAATAAAATTATTGAAAGACAAGCTTACCTATCTCAAATTTGACTATGACTCATATACATAAAGGGATAAGGTGGCAAAAATTGAAACATTGAATTCCATTATTCTGAACTAAAAACCAGTGGATTTTTTTTCCGGAACATTTGAAATTGTTTATTGTTTTTTATTTTAAATTATGTTATCTATTATATTACATAATAATACTATTTGGAATAATATATAATATATCTATCTATAAAGATAAAATAATATTTTATAGTAAAATATTACAAAATATCAAAAAATAGCAATGTAATACAGGTATTAAAATTCTATCGCCACGCGCGGAATCGCTGTATAAAATCACCGCCTCAAGCGTACAAAAACTACTTACAAAAAAGCGTCCTATTGAGCGTACGCTGTAGATATCACTCATTTGTGGATCATTAAATTTCAAATACATTGCACCGCAACAAAACTAAGAATCGTATTTATATGTAATTATATCGTATTCATTTTTATTTTATTTATATTTTTTAATGGTATTTAATACTAAGATCTAATAATGGAAAATCTCTGATTTGAGATCTACTCTGTTACTCATTTAAGTGACATGACAGCTTCTGTCTTGTCATCTAATTGTCTCATTTATTCACTTATATACCGAATAATTAAATTTTATTTTTATTTATATGAAATATTATCGCTTATATTATTTATAAGCAATATAGTCTAAAACGTTTGTTGTGATAATAAACTGAAGTGAACATGTCGAGACAAGAGAAAAGCTCAAAGCCTGGGTTTGTTATCAAACTTTCGTGTGAAACCGTGCAAAAATTGTCCGAAGAAGACCAACAGCCCAAAGAAAAAAGTGAGTCCGCGATTTCTGCGCATACAGATAATTTGTCAGTTAGCAAAAGTGAAGAAAAGCCCAAGCAGATTGAAGATAATTTTATAGTTAGTCAGAATACTGAAACAAAAAGTGAATTAAATGTAGATCCAAAAGATACAGATGATAACCTTCGTAAAAATGTTAAAAACCTTGAAAATGAAGAGGAGCTATTGGAACAAAATAAAATATCCAACACTGATATAATAGATACTGATAAAAAAGATAACAGCAAAGGTAATGCAACAGCATGGGGTGATTATGCTCCGTACATTACTTTCGAAGGTGTAAAAGCTATTTATACAGATCCATCGACACAACAAAAATATGTATGGGATGAAACGAGTAATTCTTGGACTCCTAAAAGTGGACAAGATGTGCCTGGTAGGGTATACAGCTATGAAAATGACACGCATGTGTACACAGAGCAGGATGGATCAAAATTCTTTTGGGATGAAGAAAAGAAGGCATGGATACCTAAAGTTGATGATGATTTTTTAGCCTTGTATCAAATGTCATATGGTTTTGTCGATAACACTCCTAAAGAAGAAAGCAAGGAGGAGATGGTAAAAAAAGAAGCAAAAAAGAAAGCTGATGCAACCAGTTTGAAAAGAAAAAATGAGCCACAGTGGTTTGAACCATCTGAAGAAACAAATACAAAGGTGTATGTATCAAATTTGCCATTGGATATAACAGAAGAGGATTTTGTTAATTTCATGCAGAAATGTGGCCTCGTGGAAAGGGATCCGAGCACACAGAAAATGAAGGTGAAATTGTATATGGATAAAGAGCAAAACTGTTTCAAAGGTGACGCGTTATGTACATATATAAAAATTGAATCTGTTGATCTAGCATTGAAACTATTAGATGGTAGTGACTTTAAAGGTCATAAGGTCAAAGTAGAGAGGGCTCATTTCCAATTGAAAGGTGAATATAACCCTGCTCTAAAACCGAAGAAAAAAAAGAAAAAGGAATTGGAAAAAATAAAGAAAATGCAGCAAAAGTTATTTGATTGGCGGCCGGAGAAATTCATCGGTGAACGGTCTAAGCATGAGAGAGTAGTAATAGTAAAGAACTTGTTTCAGCCCACGGACTTTGATAAGGATGTGCAGCTTATACTTGACTATCAGCAAGATTTACGAGAAGAAAGTTCTAAATGTGGTGAGGTACGTAAGGTGGTCATCTATGACAGGCATCCTGAAGGAGTTGCTCAGATTACCATGAAGGAACCTGCAGAAGCTGATGCAGTGGTCCAATTAATTAATGGAAGGTGGTTTGGTAAAAGGCAAATTACAGCAGAAATATGGGATGGAAGGACCAAGTATAGAATTGCAGAAACAGATGCAGATATAAGCAAGAGAATAGATAAGTGGGATAAGTTTTTAGAAGGAAAAGAAGATCAAAACAAGGAAAGCAAGCCAGAAGACAAAAATAATGAAAAAGAAAGCAGTGAACAATCTAATGTTGTAGTCTCTCCAGAAATGGTTGAAACTAAAAAAGTTGCATAGTTTCATTATGTTTATTTTATAATACATTTTATTATAAGAATACATTAATTAATCAAATTAATAAATTATATTTATTTGATTGAAATATACATTACCTACTTGCAGTGTGATTGTGCGTGCACTAATAATTCCTTATTCCCATATTAAATATAAAAATTGGTTCAGCCATTAAGCCATTATTTATGCTTTTATTTTCATATCATTATTCATCCTATCCTTTATCTATCCCCTTCTTTTATCTAAAATAATTTTAGTAGTATTAAATTTAGTCTAACTTTCTGCCTTTTATGGATTTCAGCAAATGCACTAGGTAAATTTACAGCATAAAATCTGAGGCACAATACACTATATTTTTGTGGTGAATGTAAATTATCTTTGCTAGACTATACTATAATCATTAAATTTGCTAATTGTGTGACTATTTCGGTCTATTGATTTGGTTTATTAAAAGCATTTTTTATTACCAAAGAATTATGATCGAAAATGAAAATTGACATGCAATATTTTCTAGGCTTTTTTATGTATGTAAATCTATTTTAGATATTTATTTAAAAAATAAAATATAGAATTTTAAACAATAAGTATATAAAAAATATATGGGTATAAAATCAGCTAATACATCAGCAACAGTAATATATAAAGCAGATGTATGGATATTGTAATTTAGGAATAAATTGCTGAAAAACTACAATAATAATAGATAACTCTGTTTTTTTTTAATACTTATTAATTTTATTTACTAATATTGTTTACAGCTCTGGTTATAATATATATTCCCAAAACTAATGTAACATTTATATTTGTAGTTTATTATTACCTAATTTCTTAAAATTATTCTATTTTTTTTTTTTATACTGTATGATCATTTATTTATTTATTTATATTAATTATGTTAAAGTACATTTTGTGTATCCTTTAATAGGTATGTGCATTAATATTGTATTATATTTAATGTTTGTTGTTTTTTAATGAATATATAATGGAATGGTAAACCTGGCATAATGGTAAACAGGTATATGCAGGCAGGTCAGTCAGCTCATTATGATGAATACACCTGGAATTCAGCACGGTGGCTTTCAGGGGGGACCACGTGGAGGTCGATCTCACAAAGTATATTGCTACCAATAATTCGTATTGATAACAAATCCATTCCCTCCTATTATATATGTTATACTGCAATATGCTGTTGATCTTTTTATGAATAAATATAAATAGATAATTGTTTTTTATTTTAAGGTCATTGGCTGATTCTAAGGCGCCATTTCTCTAAATTTAATTTGGTAACCTAATATAATTTTTTACCTATATTACAATATTTAATCTAATATTTTAATTTGGTAACTTCGTAAAATTACTATTTATGGACCATCATAAAACAAAATTATAATTATATTCACTTCAATGTATTAAAAAAATTATATTGCTCCTTATCTAAGTATTTCGTTGTTATATCAAATTGAAATTTTAATTTCAGAGAAATGTGACTTCAGAGTCGACTCTAATATTTAATAATATTAAAATAATAAAATATAACGGTGATACATATCTAAATATATCTATGATAGCGGCAGTATATACCGTTTTTGTCTATGATAATGTATTTGCTTTATTATGTATAGCAATTTGCCTAAGCCTGTAACTCCTGTTAGTGAAAAAAAGTCATTAAAACCATAAACAACTGGCCGTCATGTCTGACACCTGACTTAAGTTGGATATACAAATTTATCAATTCGGTATTTCATAATTCTATTCAAAAACACACATTTTGGCCTAGACTTATCTATATTCGAATGAATATATTTTACATAGTGGATTTACGAAACATGCAGGTTGGGCATAAGCTGGCATATTCATGTCTACATTTCGGTTGAACTGTCAAGTTTTTACGGGACTTCTCTGGCTGTATCCATGAAATATATCGAGATAATATGATAACATGGCTGTGCAACCTGACTCTGGCGGCAAGGACGATGTGAAGACACAATTCGTGACGCGGGAAGGGACCTATCGCTTGATGACTCTTTCTGAGTATTCTAGGCCCAATCGAGTGGGGTACACTAGTGGATCGGGTTCTTCACATGTTCGGGTGTCATTGGTGTCGCTGCCGCCTGGGCCTGGAGGGGGACCGCCCGGCTCCGACGGACAGGGATCCGACGACCGGATATGTTTCAACCATGGAAAAGAACTGTATGTTTATGTGTACAGAGGTGTTAAAAAGGTAAATTGAACTTCAATGTTGTTTACATTAAACAGAATTCTCAATCAATAATTTTATTCTTATGATTTACCTAATGAGTACAATGTTATAATACCATTTGCATTCATATGTATTGTGTACTTTTATGTGAACTATAAAAGTATTGCACCTTTTACTAAACTAGCTGGGAAGCATCAATAATTGTTGTTTTTTTTGTGGAAGTGTGTGTAAAATGTGTAAGTGGATTGGTTACTTTTTAATATCTTAACAGTTGGTTGGGTAGTTAAGGCATTGTCAGAATTTGGCTAGTAATATTTGCTATAGAGAAGAACATAGGCTATTTTTGATCTCAGTCATTTATAATAAAGTTAGAGAAAACTTTCTATATCTTCCATATGGCATGTTATGTTGTGGGTGTATTAATACATTAATACAATACTTTTGTTTTATTTAAATATAGTATCTAATATTTATTAAAAATTAATATAAATCTTATTAAAAATAAATAGATGAATGAATATGATATAGAAAAATACTTTCAAGTTATACATACAGTATTTTTATAATAGGAGGATTTTCATTTATCTGTATTTTTGTGATATCTGCACTAATATTCTTGTAGGGAAATGAAAATTAAATAGTAAATTTTTTGACATATAGAGAATTACATTATCAGTGAGTAATATGAACTGTATTTTATAAAAAAAAAATTATATGCTACTTAGAATGGCAAACAACATGAGGGCCTGATGGAAAGTGGTATGCAACACTTATAGACATGAGTAGTACCATGGACATAACAGAGTATACTGTTTCACCTATGATACCCCCCATGCATTGCTATTCTTGACGACTCAGGTGACATTCCTCTGTCCCCTGTTACTGCCATATTCCACCCTTCAAACTGAAACACAGCTATGTAAACACTACTGTTTCACAGTAGAAACACTAATGGAATAGAGGTACCTAATCAAACAATTTTTATACAAAGTTTTCCGCTGGTAAAAAAAACTCGTGCAAAGCTGATTAATTATGCCATGCTAAGTTTACTTATATTAATATAAACATGCAGGCAGCAGATCTCACGAAGCCAGTTGATAAGAAGATGTATAAAGGCACGAACCCAACATGCCATGACTTCAACACTGTCACAATGACGGCGGACAGTGTATCGTTAGTTATAGGATTTTCTACCGGCCAAATACAACTCATAGACCCTATTAAGAAAGAATTAAGTAAATTGTACAATGAAGAGGTAAGTGAAAGTGTCATTATTATAATTTTAATCTATTAAATAAATAAAAAATCCTTTTATTAGAAAGTTTGGACATTCTTGACCACAAGATATTATTTATGTATTAATGTTATATTATTATTCATGTACTTTTATTATTTACATATGTAGGTATATAGAGCTGTTTTTATTGTATTATATATTCAATTTTTTACTGGGTATTATTTAGTTTATCTTTAATTGTATGGTTATTACCCTTATACATTCTATAGTTTTCTTTCAGCTTCTCAAAGGTTGACTGTAAGAGATCCCTTTATAGGATAAGTCTGCCATTGTATATTAAATAATTTATCAGTGCTTAAGTTGAATTATATACAATAAAGATTTTACAATACAATCTAATACAATACTACCCCCACACTAGTAGTAATAATTGATATTCTATTATTGTACAAACTGTTCTAATATATAAACTATAGTAAGGATCTACCTTCTTTTTTTATTTATGGTTTGATGGTTTGTACAATTGAAAACAAAACTAGTAAAACAATACACAATAAAAAGTACACTTGACAGTTGAGTTACTTCTGTTTATAATAGTTATTCTTATATATATATATATATATATATATATATATATATATATATATATATATATATATATATATATATATATATATATATATATATATATATGTAAACACAACAAAGTTAACATTCAGACATTCACTATAAGGCTGTCATAGCCACCCTGGTGTATTGAAGCCTCAACAAAAATCAGAATAAATATTGTATTTAAAATAAAATAAAAATTAGTTACTTATTAGAAAGTTATTACACTTTATATACCTTATAGATACTTTTTCCTTTTGGGTTCCTAAAGTTGACTGAGCAGCAGAAATCCTTTCAAGGCATAAGTCTGCCTGTTTACCTTGTCATGTTTTTATATGATATCTATATTAAATGTGAATATATAATATAGTTTATAGAAACAAACAAAACAGTCAGTTAATCAGGCCTAAATGTTTGATTGCTGGGCAAAAGACTTCCATAACTGTTTCTACCTCACATGAATGCTAGGCAAGGTGTAATAGTTCTTATAAATTATTGCTCCATCACATATGAAATTGTTAAAAAAATGTATGTTTAAATTGATCAGTTTAAACCATTTCAGAGCCATTTCTTAAAAGATGTTGTTAATGTAGGTAGATTGACAAATGGTCAACAAATTTATTAGGCTTTTACATATTGGCCCATAGTATAACTTATTGCAATCATAATAACACCCCTATAGTTTTTTTTTATTGTCATTGTGGCAGAGGTGTCTCATAAAAAAATTGCTAGCCAAGTGGCATGGTAAAGGATTTTTTCTTTTGAATAGGCATATAGAATTACTCAAATTTTTGAATTCTGCAATCACCTTTAACAAAATCCTGAGGATAAAAAGGAGTTAAAATAATCTTTATTTAAATAGAATAACCTCCTTTCTAATCTTTATTTAAAAAATAAGTTTATAACACCTTTTAAATAATTACTTCTCTATTCATTTGCTGAAAAACTGTAAAAATATACTCATATAAATATATGTTCTATAAATTCTTTCAGAGACTGATTGACAAAACTCGTGTGACATGTATAAAGTGGGTACCAGGATCGAGCAATCTATTCATCACGGCGCATGCGTCTGGCCAGTTGTATGTCTATAATGAAGAGCTGACCTGTGGCACCACCGCGCCACACTACCAGCTCTTCAAACAAGGCGACGGCTATTCCATACACACCTGTCGAACAAAATCTACAAGAAATCCACTCTACAGATGGGTGATTGGTGCAGAAGGCAGTTGTATCAACGAATTTGCGTTCTCACCCTGTGGAACTAATCTAGCCGTCGCATCGCAGGATGGCTTCTTACGAGTGTTCCATTATGATACGATGGAGCTAATTGGTAGGGCGAGATCATATTTCGGAGGGTTCCTGTGCGTTTGTTGGTCGCCGGACGGTAAATACGTGGTAGTCGGCGGCGAGGACGATTTGGTGACTGTTTGGTGCTTCAGTGAAAGGAAAGTGGTCGCGCGCGGACAAGGCCACAGATCGTGGGTTTCGGTGGTTGCGTTCGATCCTTACGTAGTGAGCTTCACCGATCCCGAAAGTGACGAGGGTGTCGAGGACGACAGACAGAAAAGTGAGAGTGTTCAATGTTACAGACTAGGTAGTGTATCGCAGGACACGCAGCTGTGCTTGTGGGACTTGACGGAGGACGTGCTGAGGCCGCCGGTGAGGGCGCGGGCATCCGCCCACCTCTCCCCTAACAGTCAGACCTTCTCGCCGAACGGGGTCCCCGGTATGAAAGTGCCGGCGAAGGGGACCAAATCCAACAAAATAGGTCACAAACACGCCGAGCTGAGTGGGCAGAACAATCCCTCCGGCGAGTCGTCCGGAGCGAAGCAGCCCGCCAAAACGAAAGTCAACAACGTCTCTACTCTGAATATAAGCGTGGGAAAAGCGAAGGAGGAGAGTTCGGGCTCGCTCGGCGTGAATTCGCTGACGCAACGGCTGGCAGGATTCTCGTTTGGAGACCGCCGGTCCGAGCACAGACGGAACTTCAGTTTGTCTAAGCCGGCCGAGCAGAAGTCGTCCGCGTCGAACACGGTCGCATTGCGGGGCAAGTCGGCAGGGGCAACAACGAACGATTCGTTCGACCCGTTGAAGCTGATAGGCACGGCATCGTGCCCGCGGTTCGACGAGTGCCCGGTGCTGGAGCCGCTGGTGTGCAAAAAGGTGGCCCACGAGCGGCTGACGGCGCTGCTGTTCCGCTCGGAGTACTTCGTGACGGCGTGTGCGGACGGCTGCGTCAACACGTGGGCGCGGCCCGCGCGCTCGCTCAACGGCGAATCCCGACCGCTCAGACGCTTCGAGAAGATCGACCTCGTTGACTAGTCCGCTGTCTCTGGCCCTCACTTATACACTGTAGTGTTGTCTATTCAAGACTGTTTATACGAAATGTTATTACAACGAACTTCAATCAATTAAAATTATTTTTATGTGCAAATCTCGTCCAACCAACCTGTAATATCCTCTTAGAATCCTTTAGCTAGAGTATTGTATTATTTGGATAATACGTCTTGAATAGACAATACATAGTAAATTATGTTGTAGTTATTTTTAAAATATTAAATTTATAGTAGTATCTTTTATAAGGTTATTACTATTTTTTAGGTATGTATATACATTTACAAAAATTACATATTACTTTTACATGTAGAATATTTATGAGGGGAGGTTTGATAAGTTTGCGACCTGAGGTGCTTAATTAATGAAAAGTATAGTTTTATATTTTTTATTTTTCAATATAATTCCCCTCAAGGAAAATACACTACACTTCGTGAATACAAAGCCTATATCCTTCGAAAAAAAATATTTGCTCAAATATGGGTATTACAGATGGTACATTATTAGATTTTTTCGCCTCCATATTTTACCATAAATGATGTGTAAATCTACTTTTAATATAAATACTAGTACAGTGCCATTATCATAGTTTCATATATTACAATGTTTTAATTATAATAGATTATAGATAAAAAAAAAAAGAAAACACATCAAAATTTGTCTCGTTTTTTTTATACCACAGGTGGAAAACGAGCATACGGTCCACTTGATGGTAAATGGTTACCGTAGCCTAGGAACACCTGCAATACAAGAGGTATTACGCGTTATCGTCTCTTGTCTCATGGGAATACAATGCAGTCATTTATAATTTGACATATCATATGACTGTCATATATTCATTTATAGTGTAGTATCCTTTGCCAATTAGTATCCTCTTTGGTTCCTTCCTAAATAGATGAAAATGCTTAATGCTTAATTCTTTTATATATATGGCGGCAATTTATTATATACTTTCAGACCCATGCAGAATATGCTATTATTGTGTACTGTATTTTGCTTTTCATTGTTTCATAATCTGTAATATTAAATTTTATTAAAATTGCAACTTCATAGATATAAAGTGAAGGGAATGTAAAAATTTATAAACTTCTTAAAATGTGATGAGTCATCGCTAAGTACCTTGGGTCGCGAACTTATCAGCCGCCCCTCTTATTTAAAACATAAAAGATATTTAGTGGATATTTTAAAAATAACTAAACAAAAAAATTTACCTCTCGTTATTTGGAAGGCCTTGTATGTTGTATTGCAGAGGTAATAGTGAAATTCAGTCCTTGAACATGTGAAGTTCGAATGTAATAAATTATTCTATATTATTAGAAAGATTGTTGGCTTGTGAATGAATGCGTGTTTGTATATTTATAAAGTCTCTATTGCTCTCCTGTGTTTAGTGTCTTTCTACTGAGATCCATTTGAATAATTAGGCATAATATTTAAGACATTCGAGATTCCTTATTTTTTTTTTCGTCAATATGAATTTAACCTTTTGACCGCCACCGTTGTCAGCAGCTGAAGGCCCCTTAGCGCTTGATTGTAATCTGCAATTTCGCATTGTACTTTTTTTTTTATACAACTTAGAATGGCAAACAAGCTGACGGTCCACCTGATGGAAAGTGGTAACCGTCGCCTATAGACATGAGTAGTACCATGGACATAACAGAGTATACCGTTTTGTCCATGATACCCCCCATGCGTTGCCATTCCTGAGGACTCAAGTGTTATTCCTCTGTACCCAGTAAATGCACGCCATATCCCACCCTTCAAACGGAAACACAGCCAAGCAAACAACTGCTTCACGGTTGAAACACGAATGGGACAGAGGTACCCAAGCAATCGACTTTTGTACAAAGTCTCCGAATACTTGGTACTACTCCGAATACTTGGTTTGTTACTATGATATGTATTTTTAAATACTGTAAACTTTTGTTTTATATTCTGTCTTTAAACGGTAAAGACAACATAGAACTAAATACTTGTTATTTAGTAGATAATATTGATTGAAGTGGAAAGGGCATGAAAGAAAAGCCAATACGGGCGGTTAAAGGGTTAAACAATAAATACAGGAGAGTCCTGTGAGTGGAAAGCTTGATACAGTTGTATTTCTTACTGTAATACGTTACTAGGCGATATTTGTGATCGCCGCAGCAATGAGATTGTACTGTAAATGTATAGAGGAGTGTATATTTTAATTATTAAGGAGAATTCCCTTCGGCTCACGTATGTACATATAGTTATTAGGACGTAGCAATCAAAGATTGCTCGGATTATCGCAAACGCACCCGTGTGCTTTTCATTGTCTTTATACTCGTAAAGTATTTATTTAATTTTTCTTTAAACAATTTGAATGTTGTTGTGTCGATTGACGCGTCTGTAAGACTTGCGATGTTTTCAAACATTTAATTATGCGTGAATTGTGTATATTGTTATTGGATTCAGCTATATTAGTTACTATTAGGGAGCCTAGTGAAATTGTGTTGTTATAGACAAATTAATGTCTACAGTTCGACAGCTTACTATGTAGATATAATGATTTGCTTGATATAACCTACCCGCAGTAATTTCACGGTCTATATACCATAGATAGAGAAAATCCTGTATGTTGCAGTACCCAATATGGCGATGGCAAATACCAGCAAAGATTATTTTGTATAATCGATATTTATTTTCTTTTTATTAGAAAAGCTGACATACTATTACATGCTTCTGGCGGTAATATGTTGTTGTGGCCTTGAAGAAGTTTTCTTGCCCTGTTTAAAGGAATGCTGCTATATTAGAAATTAATATTTTTATCCTTGGCAAGTTACCCATCGTAGAAACGTATTACTTGTGCTGACATTTCCATTGTCAATGCTAGGTCTGTGGGTATGTCCAGTCTACTCTGATTGCAGGGGAAGACTTATTAATTACTCCCTACTATCGTCAAGGGTTTCGATGGGCGTATCCCATAAAAGTATACTTTTAAAAGGCCTTTTTATAAGCATCATTTTTTTTTAAGTTACTCGTTGAAATAGGAATATATTACAACTATTTACATAGACAATTTTTCCTTGTATTATTATTAAATTATTTGTTGTAATTTAAAGTTTTTAAAATGCTATTATTTATGTGTATTGCGTATAACGTCTTATTTAGTATACCGATAGTGTATAATACGTCTTTTCATACCGTTTTATTGAAAAAAAATACATAAAAATTTACAAACATTGAAATTGTACGTAAGTGACAACTCAATTTGTTGAAATTTAAATAGAACCGATTCATATTTAAATTCTGCTAACCTTATATTTTAACCGACTTTAAAAATAAGGCGGTTATCGTTTCGATTGTATTTTTTTTGTGTTTGTTACCTTATAATTCAGGTGTAAAACGATTTGGAAAATTCTGTTTTTATCTGAATATTTACAGAGATGTCAGATAGAAATTTTATCAAAATCGGTTCGATAGCTTAGTTTTTAAACCAAAATAACTAGCTTTGCAACAATTAAAGTCGGTTTTTATTTTGTGGAACGCAGTTTAAATACATTCATTGCTATTTAGTAAATCTTTAGACAAGCATGGTGATAGTTTTAGTTCTATTAAATATAATTAAAGGTCCTCTAATATGCCCATGGCAAGTGACAAAAAGTTTTATGTTCTAATTATATTTGTTTTTCCAATAGTACAGGGCCGTAGCTAGACCCAAGTGTAAGGTAGGGCAAAACAATTTTTTGATAGGGCAGAAATCACATTTAAGTGACTTCGAAAAAGCGAGTCTAATTTTCTTGGAGCCTTTTATTTCAGTGTAGGGCATTGGGCGTTTTAAGGTAGGGCATTGCCCCTCAAACGATTTACGTAGTACCTACCTTTGTGTTTTCTCCTTTTTTTTTCTTCCTTTCCAAGTCTTCTTGTTTGTTCCGTATTCTGATAGTTACAGAATGAACTAGTACAGTCGCGTGCAATAACATATAAACATTTTAATACTTCGTCATAGTAACTTTATTGATAGTGCAAAACTTATATTAACTATTTGCGAGGTTACTATTCCTTAGAACATCATAAAGTAAAATTATAATAATTTTGACTGAAATCTATTACAAAATTAGTTTATACTAGCGGCCCGTCCCGGCGTCGCACGGGTGGACATTTTTATCATTTCCCTTAACTGCTCTGCTCCTATTGATTGTAGCGTGATAAAAAGTATACTATAACCTGCCCAGAAGTATGAAGAATAATTGTACCAAGTTTCGTTAAAATCCGTCGAGTAGTTTTTGTTTTTATATTGAACATACAGACAGACAAAAATTTTACTGATTGCATTCTTTTGCATCAGTATCGATCACTAATGACCCCCTGATAGTTATTTTGGAAGTATATTTCATGTATAGAATTGACCTCTATAGATTTATTATAAGTATAGATTGGTCCTTATAATGAAAATTTCGCTGTGATATCAAATTTAAATTTTAATTTTAGAGATAGATTTAGAGAGATAGCGCCTCAAAATAGACCTTACTAGGTACCCTAATAAATTCATATTGTGATAAAGTAGAAAGTGTTTACATGTTAATGCAGACGACTGTACTAATAAGGGCCTACGTAGACCAGCCAAGGTACAATTGTAGACGTATTTTTTTTACAACAAAATCAAATACGAACAGAAATGTATAATGTATTATTAATTTTTTATCTATCTTATTTAAGAGCTGCACTCTTGTCGGTGGAGTTCTTGCCACTCACTATGATTTTCAGCGAGTCTCTTCACCTCTTGATACGACACGACACCAACTTCTTCCTTGATCTGCCTGATGTAACTGTCTCGGTCTCCCTCTCCCCCTCCTTCCTTCTATCTCACCTTCTATTATAATGTTCATATGTTCGTCGTGTCGTATCAAGTGTCTAAACAATTTTTCCCTTCTGACCTCAATAGTTCTTATAATTTGTCTCTTTTCCTTAACCCTAAACAGGCCCTTTTTATTACTTATTCGATCTCTCCTGCAAATTTTCTTCATCCTTTTACAGTACCACATTTTAAAGGCTCTAAGTATATCCAAATTTTATAAAATTAATTCTAAAAAAATTCCACGTCAAACAAAATAAGCCTACATCGTTTATTGTACATGTACAAGGCTTCATACTTGATACATACATATAATAAAATAAATATTTCCTGTATAGATGTTATGACAATCGTTTTCATAAAAATAGATTTTGCAAACAACATGTTTTATGTATTTTTGTGAAAATGCGCAGTTAGTGTCTATGTTGGGAATATTGCTGTATAATTATTGTACTTATAAAACTTATTTTTTGTGGCCTTACACATTTTTATGTATTATTTGATTGTATTTAATTACTGAATCATGTTATTTTATTCAAGGAAATTAAACTATAGACAGGGTTGTGTGTGTGTATTCTAAATTTAAAAATCGCATTTGAATTTTTTATATTCGAAGTGGTCTTTCGAAATTCAAAATTGAAATGAATGGGAATGGAAACTTGCCAATTCACTTATTATTTTTCAGTGAAAATTATTTAGTGTAACCACGAAACCTGTTCGCCTGAGACGGAAATGTGTAATATTTAAATAATATACAAAAATCTTAAAATATACACAAATAAAACCTTTTTGAGAATTTTATTTTTATGACTAAAAAATCCTTTAATAGATCTACTATGGCAACAAGCTTCAGTGCTAATGGTCAAGGCCTTGATGTAAACTGGAAGAAAGTACAGGTGGCGCCAACATTCCACTTTCATCTCTTAAAAAAATCGCCTACGCTATTGTTTTCATAGACTCGGTATAACGTATTTAAATATACTTCATAATTTAAAATTGGTTTCCACGGGTGGGATACCATTGACTGTAATATGTAAAAATGAAGTCTTTTTATTTTTATTTTTTATACAACTTAGAATGGCAAACAAGCTGACGCCCCACCTGGAAAGTGGTAACCGTCGCCTATAGACATGAGCAGTACCATGGACATAACAGAGTATACTGTTTCGCCCATGATGCCCTCCATGCGTTGCCATTCCTGAGGACTCAGATGTTATTTCTCTGTACTCAGTAAATTCACGCCATATCCTACCCTTCAAACCGAAACACAGCCATGCAAACAACTGCTTCACGGTTGAAACACGAATGGGATAGAGGTACCCAAGCAATCGACTTTTGTACAAAGTCTCCCTCTGGTAAGTCAGGGTCAACTCGCAATTCAACAGGAATAACCACGATGGTTTATAGGAGAAACACATGGAGAACGATCTAATAGGAATGTTAGCAATGGGGCCATAATTCTCGTTATTAATTTAATCTTTTCACCCCACTTTATATATAAAAGAATAAATATTTGATTGCCTAATATTTCACTAAGATTTAATTAATAAGTACCTACGGCAAAACAAAACAACAAATTAAACTATATAAAATTCTATTTTATTATCTAAACCGTACAGCTCAAAATCCCGGATCCCAGGTCGTGCGGTCACTGGCGTCTACCAACTTGTAGCATATTACTGTGTCGCCCGGTTTCACTTCGAACGTCGCATCTTCGAAGCGCAGCCCGCATTCCATGTCTCGTTTTATTGTATTCGCCTCTTCTTTGAGATGTTTCATTGATACCAGTTTACCTGTGTATAAATATACCAGCGGTAAGTTAATATCGATAGAAACGTTTTCGCTAGCACACGTAATAAAGAACGAGACGACGAACGCTGCCATATGTCACATGGATACGGTAACAATAATGCACCTATAGACAGTTCTTTTGTCAGTTGTCTAAGAAGGCTGGTTGTCTCGAAAAATAATTCACGAGGTACAAAATTCCATACCCCTTTCAGACCCAAGATTTTTTTTTAGGTTAAATATATTTTCGTGTTTTGGAGCCTAGCCATCTTGCCGGCACGCACGAGACTACTGCACCACCTAACCGCTAAAATGATTTCTTATTGGCTGGTTTAGAATCTCACTATCATGTTATTTCAGCTTCGTGCGTAAAAATGAATTGCGCGCGGTTTTAGAATTTATTAAAGTTACAACTCACGCCCGTATTGTTTAGGTCTGAAAGGGATATCTTAGAATTGTCTTTGGATTTACATTGTGTAAATTAACGAAACCTGTTTCTTAAAACTAGTGTAAGTATTTATTAATAGGGTCTCATCATCATCATCATCGTCATTATATCAGTTGTTAACTGTCCACTGCTGACTATAGACAGGTGTATTGGCAACCAGAGTTAGGCTTTGGTGATGTTTTAAAAGCCCAAATGATAAACAAGTACAAGTGGCATTTGGCTGATCACATAGCTCGAAGTGCCCACAACCGATGGGGAATGAAGATTCTTGAGTGGCGACCTTGTACGGGCAAATGCAACGTGTAGGTCAACCCCTGACGACTGACTTCAAATGCATTACAGAGAGTTAGTGGATGCAGGTGGCTTGGGATCGTTCCTTATGGAAGTCTATGGCGAAGGCTTATGTTCATCAGTGGACAGACAATGGCTGATGTGATGATGACGACACTCATGGGTAAAGGAATATAAAAAATTTAAAAATAATAGGAAATTTAAAAGTCCACCAGGTTATGGTCAATCTGTGTATTTTACAACTTGAGTAATAAATATACAAATATAAAAAAAAGTGAAATATAATATACCTTCATACACTTGTTGTTGTTCCCGTATGACCCTGTAGAGGGCGTTCCGGACGAGGTTACCCTTGAGGCAGCGGCACCCGGCCACTGGCACTTTACGTTTACCCTCGGACACTTGGAACAGCTGTAGAACATTCGCCTCGCCTACAACAACAAGGATTTGTATATAAAATTTTTTTTATGCAACTTAGAATGCAAATGCAAACAAGCTGACGGCCACGACAGAGTTTACTGTTTCGCCCATGATACCCCCCATGCGTTGCCATTCCTGAGGACGCAGGTGTTATTCCTCTGTACCCAGTACATTTACGCCATATCCCACCCTTCAAACCGAAACACAGTCATGCAAACACAACTGCTTCACAGTTGAAACACGAATGGGACAGAGGTGCCCAAGTAATCGACTTTTGTACAGTCTCCCTCTGGTCAGGTATTGCAGGTGTCTGGAACCTATAACCGTTTATTAATAGGCGATATTTTTATAAAAAGATATATGATTACCAAGCACTTCCTCCTCCTGCCGCTTTGGTATTCTGGCGGTGATCTCCTCCTTCACGTCGTCCACCAGTTTGTATATGATGTTGTACTTCTTGATGGCTATGTTCTTCTTCTTGGCTTCCACCGTGAGCGATGACGGACACTCCACATTGAAAGCATACACCACAGCGCTGAATGCTTCCGCTATCTGTTGTATTTTTATATGAATTAGGCATGAGGAATATCGATACCGCTCCGATATTTATATATTTGATTTCTCTGGAGATTAATGGTGGAAAAAAGGTTAAGTCTCGGCATAGAATGGGCTACACCTTCCTTTTCTATGAGTGTTGTAAGGGAACTTAATAATCTAGGGTTCTTTTTTAGTGGATGATAATGAAATGGTCCCACCTGCGCTAATGGTATACGCTGGCGGAGCACCAGTGAGGGATGATAGGTGAGAATAAAAAGGCAGGTCAGTTAGCCCATCGTGATGAATACACCTGAAATTCAGCACGATAGTTTCCAGGGGGACCATGTGGAGGTCGATTTGACAGGGTATATTGCTAGCAATGATAATGGTAGTCTGCATTACTAACAATCCTCCCCCCCCCCCCCCCAAATGGTCAAGACATGGGCAGCAGCATTCTTCTTAAAACATCACCAAAGCCTAGCTGTGGTTGCCAACCTATATGTTAAACGTGGCAGATACTTGCAAAGCTCCCTTTCAACAAATCGTCGTTTCTATGTAAGTGAGGCGCTTATTAAGGTCACGGGTGCTTATATAATACCTCTATATCATTGGGCGTGACCGGGCCGACTCCGTAGTGCACCAGATCCAGCCGGACGCGGTCGTGTTCGTCGTACGTCTCAAGAATGTCCAGAATCGCCTCCACGGACCCGTCCACGTCTCCTGCGAAGATATATTATTGTTTGTTAAATAAAGTCAAATAATATGGTCTTTTTAGGATCAAAATGGAATAGTAGCCTCACCTGCGCTATTAGTATACACTGGCGGGGTATTAAAGTGAGATGATAGGTGAGGATGAAGTTAAACAGGTCAGTTGGCTCATTGAGACGAATTCACCAGCAATTCAATCATGGGCGAAACAGTATTATACTCTGTTATGTCCATGGTACTGCTCATGTTTATAGGCGACGGTTACCACTTTCCATCAGGTGGACCGACAGCTTGTTTGCCATTCTAAGTTGTATAAAAAAAATTAAGGGTTTTCAGATGGACCATGTAGAGGTTGACATACCGAATATATTGCTAGCAACAGGGGTAGTATCCATCATTCATCAACAGCTCTTTTTACCTCTGCAGGAGGCTAATTATCAAAGGGGATGATATAGGAAACGGGATGAAGGACAATTGGTAAAAACAGGGGTTCTTGACAAGATCTATTTTAGCTTACCCAGCGAGATTGGGCGTTCTCTGATGATGAAATTAAAAGGTCATCAGAAATGCGCGTTATTTATTCCATATATGATGCCCCTCTCATTAGACCTTAGCGCTTTTGAATGCCCCCTTCTCCCCTTATTTCTAGCAATAAGATTTCTCTGCCCATCCTATAAACCTAGCGGAAGGTAAATTAATATTACTCACCTTTTACCAACACACTGAGGGTGGGATGATCGTCGTGCTGTATCATCTTCTGCCTGGGACCGTCTGGCTTCAATTTGAACCGGCCCATTGCTCGCTTACGTGACAGCATCGCCTTATACTGTTCTCTGTGCGCGGCCTCCTTCGCTTCGATGGCGGCGCGGTCTAATTCTTGCTTCTCCTTCATGCGCTGGTTGTGACGCCATTTCAATACTTCGCTAGCTCTTTTCTGTGTTAGACAATAGTTTTTAATATGATTAGTAAGAATCGGGCTTATTTAAATCGACATATTTACCGTTCTATTGTTTCTGCCTACCCTAATGGGAGACAAGCGTGATAAATATGTATGTAGTAAGAATTGGCAGTTATGAACAGTTTGTATGGGGAAAAGAGAAATGGAAAATACAACTTTTCTGGGGAAGAGTAAAATTGAAAATTTTAATCTTCATAATTTTTTTTTTAAATCAAATGGTTTGAATCGAAGCATTTGGAGTTCCACCATTTATATTTCCTCGAATGGGAGACAGGCTTGCAAAAACCTTCCACGGTCTTCAACGAACATTTAAAAAAAAAGGAGATGAATTCAGTCTAGCACTACAAGACTTTTGCATTTAGCAAGACATTGATTAATTATTATTTTCAATAGCAAGATGTCAAATCAAGAGATGAATTGTAAAGGACGTTTACGTTTAAGGTACGTACCTCGGAGGCGACTTCCAAGACTGTATCGCCGGCGGCGGGCAGCTCGCGCCAGCCCAGCACCGCAACCGGCGTCGACGGCGGCGCCTCCAGCACCGGGCGGCCTTCCGCCGAGTTCAGCATTCGCACCTGGCAAGGCATATAGTTTTTACAGCCTTACATAGGTATCATCTACTTTTAAGAGTTCTATAGTAACATTTATTTATTAGAGCAACTGACAATATATATGTAATTTCAGTATGTATGTATATCAATAATTACTAGTATTGCATTCGAGTATTCTGACACTTCCCTACGGTTGACTGCGAGTGAATGCTTTTAGCATAAAGTCCGCCATGTACACATATTTGTACTAATGAATAAATAAATAAATAAAAATTAAACAAGACATCCACTATGATTACAGTTTTTATTTCAGGCAAACAATGCAGGTATGTTGACTTAATTACTTTACTTTCCAGGGCTTGTATTAATTCTTAAAAAAAAAAAAGAAAAAGAATAATTGATATATTATAGTCAAAATAACATATAGATTTTCTTTTTTCATTAAAATGTTCCGAAACAGCAGATTTGCAAATAACATCGTCCATATGATGCGACTTTGACCATCTGTCCATACGTCACAGCGCTATATCTCAACAAGTAGTTAAACTATCGGCTTAAAATTTACAATTATGTATAGAGCGTGCGACTTCTACTTACATTGGACCGTTTTTTTTTATTCTTGACAGATTTAGTAAACACTATTTTATAGCTTACTTTTGCAATGATTCATTATTTATTGAAAGAATACCATATTATCATAGCAATAAGTCTCACCTTAGCCCAGCCCGAGCCCGCTACAATCACGCAGCCTTTCCGCAGTGTTCCACGTTGCACCAACACTGTTGCTTGTTTACTAAAAAAGAAAAATATATAAAATGATATATATGGTAATTGTAACTTCTAAAAAAAGTATCTATTACGTCAAAATGTAATATATATATATATATATATATATATATATATATATATATTTGGCGAATATCTTCAATGTTATAGTCTAAGATCCTGCCGCTGAATTCTGTACGTATAAAACTTTTTAATGAATAAACTTTAAATATAATAAAAGGCAATCGATTTGCCTGCTGTCAGTTAGCCGCTACAAGGTTGGCAGATGGCAACCCTTATTTTTGAATATTTTTTAATAGGCAATCATGTGATGTTGTGTATAAAAAAGAATAAACTTCCATTTAGTGTAAATATTGTCTAAAAGTATAATGATTAAAAAAAATTACCAAATATTTCACCTGCCAACCCTCGGTTGCCGCTAACTGAGAGCAGGTAACTCAGGTGCATTTTAATATATTAACGTTCATCTTTCATTTAAATCAAGTTTCATTAAAAAGTTTTATTTATGCAGAATTCAGCGGCGAAATCTTAGTCTCTATGTATATTGTATGAGCAGGCTAACCTTTTGTTTGTTATTTTTTCACAATCATCCTTAGGCATACGTATATGAGTGTTATAAATGTTATCATTTTTTTTTATACAACTTAGAATGGCAAACGGCCCACCTGATGGAAAGTGGTAACCGTCGCCTATAGACATGAGCGGTACCATGGACATAACAGAGTATACTGTTTCGCCCATGATACCCCCATGCGTTGCCATTCCTGAGGACTCAGGTGTTATTCCTCTGTACCCAGTAAATTCACGCCATATCCCACCCTTCAAACCGAAACACAGCCATGCAAACACAACTGTTTCACGGTTGAAACGCGAATGAGACAGAGGTACCCAAGCAATCGACTTTGGTACAAAGTCTCCTTCTGGTCTAAAATACAGATGTTAGTTTACAATTATTACAGGGTGGTAATGTTCCTAAAATAATTTGAAAACTATCATCAGAGTAAGACTTTTGGTTTTGTTCAAATTTCCTATCTAAATATAATATATAGAATTAGTCGAAATTACAGCCGAACACGGCACTATGCCCTAGAATTTCTTTCCTTAGCCACATCATACTTTCAAATAGTTAATATGTATAAAAAAAAAATAACTTTATGAATTATTTTCATCACTCAGGAATAGCAACGCATGGGGGGTATCATGGGCGAAACAGTATACTCTGTTATGTCCATGATACTACTCAAGTCTATAGGCGACGGTTACCACTTTCCATCAGGTGGGCCCTTAGCTTGTTTGCCATTCTAAGTTGTATAAAAAAAAACTCAGTTACTTGTCCATAGGCTACAGTAATCATTTACCATCAGACTGGCTGTAATTTTGCTTGCCATATTCGTGGATAAAAAAAGTTTCGATTGGAAACTAATCAAGCATAAATGTTTTACCCTGTGCGCGGATCAAGCTGTGCCTCTATGACGACGCCCTCCACAAAGCCGCCAGGGTCGGCCTTCAGGTCCATGAGCTGCGCCTGCAAGGTAAGGGCCTCCACCAGCGTATCGAGGTTCTGTTTCTTGAGCGCGGACACCGGTATGGCTTGCACGTCGCCGCCCACCGCCTCGCACACCACGCCGTGTTGGGCTAACGCGCGTAATATTCGCTCCTGACGACAATACAATTGTATCATCATATCAGCCTTTAATTGTCCACTGCTGGACATAAGACTCCCCCTTGGGGGTTTTGCCAGTAATTGCCACTCTTGGCAGGCGGATTGGCAACCGCAATCAGGGCTTTAGAGGTATTTTAAGACGGACGTTGCTGCCCATCTCTCGCCCTCCCGTAGTCGTCTCTTACGACACCTACGGGAAAGGAAGGCGGTGGCCTATTCCGATTATACTATATAGTTCTATTTTAATAAGTAGGATAATTATGTTTAATTTGTTTAAAATAAATGTTTAAATTTATTTATTTATTCATAGGAAAACCAGGGCTACACTACAGCAAATAGATACAGTTTTAGGGTAACAAAATAAGCCACTAATAGGTTTTCACAAGTAGCAACAATATAGATACAAGGCGCTGTACACAAAGCTAATATAATAACTTTTTAATTTTGATTATGATAATATAAAATCGAGGCATACCTACAATGTTCACACCTGGCTTGTCCATCTTGTTGATAGCCACCAATATGGGAACTGGAACAAGAAGTACTTGCAATGAGTATGACGCTTGACGCCTTCGAATTTTAATCTTTATAAATATTGAAATTGAAAATGTATAGTGATAAATAGTATTTATTACTTGATGAAGCTGGCAACATATTGTTTAATACATTCTGTTTCATTTTATTTCAATCATCATCTATAAAAGCTAAGGCATTGGGGTCGATTTTTAAGCGCTTTTTCTTTACATATAAACTTATCTCTTAATATTTTAATTTGATATTTTCACGATATTTTATGAACCATAATGAATTAAATTAATAATAATTTCGACTTAAATCTATTACAAATTTATTTTTAAAGACTTCTTTATTCTAAGTACCAATATTTAAATAAATTCAATATTTAATATGTCAAATAATTTGATATCACAGTGACTTCGCTGTTGCAAAATCAATCATCAATAACAGTTTTAATTTTAGAGATAGGTTTAGAGCATTATTTTTCAATCATTACTACCTCACCACTACCTTAACTAAAGTGTAAATGATACACATTTAACTATTTTTCCCCATGTTTTATCTTCATCTTCCAGTGTCACTCTCTCCTGTTGTATGTGTACTTTTAAGTTTGTGTATGTTTATGTATATATATGTATATACATATATATGTATATAACTTTGTATATATTTGTTTATATATAATAGTACTAATATAATAGTGCGCCACCTACCCTTTGTTTTTCTTTCTTTTCTCAATGTTCTCTACCCAAAGGTTGTCTGGAAGAGATTGCTTAGCGATAAGGCCGCCTTTTGTATCATTTCTTATTACAGTTAAATGTGTTAACTATTTTATAAATGGTGCAATAAAGTGTACATAAATAAATTAATAAATGTATTTATGATTATTATTATTATACAAATTCAAATGACTTTATTGTGGATCATAGGTCAAATTAAGGTAATACATCAGTTAAATAGTATCTCCATGTCCTGATATATAAGCGTACAATATATGGAACAGTTAACAGTATATAAAACATAACATTTAAAATTATATAGTGAAACAAAATATATTTATATGAGACATTATTTTTTACAAATGATGACTATTTATCTTTATCATTGATATATTCGTCCAGGCTATAATAACATTTATTTATTAACATATCATGAAGGTTCTTTTTAAAAACATTTACCTCAGTCAATCCTCGTATACGTTTTAGTATGTATTTTTTTTTGATGGCTGAAAATGGTATGGTAACCCCGCCTGCGCTAATGGGATACGCTGGCGGAGCACCAGTGAAGGGTGATAGATGAGAATGAAAACAGGCCAGTTAGCCCATCATGATGAATTTATCAGGAATTAACCATGATAGTTTTCAGGGAGAACCGCGAGGAGGTCGACCTGGTTGGGTATATTGCTTGCAATGAGATTCTCAGTCTCTATTACTAACAATCCCTTTCCCCGCTTTGGTATGTATGATTTATTATTTGAAATCAGATTTGGTATTTTGTTAAGAATATTTAATCACTAAATCAACTGTTTCTGGTTAAAAGTAATTATTAACTGTATTATTCATAATTGGGACTTGCGCTCCATTACTCCCGTCAGGTGGTAGACCTGTAGTCTCCTAATGAAACCAACATTAAAATTTATCATAATTGGCTAACTAATGTGGCTTGATCATTACCTATCATCCCTTACAGGTGTTCCTCCTGCGTGAACTGATTGCGCAGGTGGAGTTTCTTTTTTTAATGAATGATAATGGAATAGTAACCCCGCCTGTGCTATCGGTATACACTCGCGGGGCACCAGTGAGGGACGATAGGTGAGGATGAACGCATGTCAGTTAGCCCATCGTGACGAATGCAACAAGTATTAACCACAATGATTTCAATGGGGAATTGTGTGGAGGTAGACCTGATAGGGCTTGCTAGCAATGGGACCATTAGTCCTCATTACTAACAATCCGTTTCCCCCAGTGTCGATGGGGTTACCATAAAATAAAAGATTATACAAACCGTTGGCTTCCCTGGCCATCCGTATGGACTCGACGGTCTGCTCCATGACACCGTCGTCGGCCGCCACCACCAGCACCACCACGTCGGTGGCGTGCGCGCCGCGCGACCGCATCGCCGTGAAGGCGGCGTGGCCCGGCGTGTCCAGGAACGTCACCTTCTCGCCCGACGACAGTTGCACTGCACACCAAATTGTAACTCTAAGCTTCATTTTGTATGTATTGTACCGACATTCATTTTTGTTGTTCTGGTCATTTGCTCGAGGTAGAAATGATGTGAGGGTGATAGTCTTTTTTATATTGTTACTTCACTAAAAAAGGTATATTCAAAATGCTTACCTTCAAAGGCACCAATGTGTTGTGTGATACCCCCAAACTCTTGGTCCACGACGGAGGTGTCCCGGAGCGCGTCAAGCAGCGTGGTCTTGCCGTGGTCCACGTGCCCCATCACGCACACCACCGGCGGTCGCGGCCGCAGCGCCTCCGGTGCTGCTGGCGGCGCCGGCACCGCATCCTTGTTCTAAAGAGAAACTCACCTTCAGAGGGAAACCTTTAACCTTTTAAGATGGAAAGTTTTAACCTTTGTATGAATGAATGAGTATACTTTATTTGCATTATCCAATATAGGAAAAAAGCATGACAATTTACAAACACAATGATACAATTGTATAAATAGAGTAAGGCGGTTTGTAGTGTTGTAACACACTAAATAGCTAGTTTTTTTTTATTATATGGGATAAAGGAGCATGCACCTCACCATACTCAGCTAAATCACTACACTGGAAGATTTGCAGGTGTACTGCTGGCCTTTTAAAAAATAATGAGTTTCTTGCTTGAAGGTTATTTTAAATGTTAAGGTAAAAAGTTAATGTTAAGGTTAAAATGTTGCAAACTATTTGAGGTAGCATATTGAATTTTATCAGTTTCATCTATATAAAGAAGTCCTCTATTACCTCATTTTAATTTAAAAAACATTTTTTAAATTTGTATAAGTCAGGCATTCTAGGTGGTGCTTTTAGATGTTTATTGCTTAGTTCCTGATAAGATGTATCCTAGATTGAGAAACAGATGATTTGTGTGATACTTATTTATTGTATAATTGCACAAAACAAAAATTATTACCTCCTCTTCCTCAATTTCTTGGTCAGGATTTGGTACAAGTTTGAACCGGAAACCAGATATTTTGACTACATCTCTAATGATCTGAGGGTTGTATATTATAGTTTTCTTAGTATAATTTGTGTCTGAAGTTTTATCTGCGAATTCTAATGCCTTTAGCACATGATCTGAAATATAATTAAAAAAATTACAAGGTTATTTTAGATGATCTTATTTCAATCTAGTGATATAGTTTAGAATGGGAAGCTGAAATTGTCGAAAATAATATACAGCCTCTGTTTGTCGCTGATAATGTAGCTTTCTATATGTGAAAGTTTTTTAAATTTGGATAAGTAGTTATTGAGTTTATAAAGAAAAGATCAAATCTTTTCTCTTTTCGATTTTAGTTTTATCTTGTTTTATTTTTGAGTTTACAACATCATTTATATAGTACTATGATATCCTGATAACACTACAATAGTAATAAGTGGAACATTGTAAACATAAGGACAGAGGTCGTAGGAAATGGACAGCATTACAAGATACTACTTACCAACATCTTTTTTCAGTACATTAGCTATATCTTGTACAGTCATGTTACGCCATATACCCACTACTTCTTTACCTGCTTTTGGTGAATATCTAATTGAGGATCTTCCATTACTTAAAACTACCTAGAAAAGTATTAAGATTCAATATATTATCATATTCATAAATAGTAAGTCTATGGTATGGAGTTGAGTAAATTTGGGATCAATATGATAGTTAAATGATTTTTATAATCAAAAATAAAAAAATTCCTTACAACATATTTCATTTAAAAATCAATGAGACTAGAGTGATACTCATTACATTAATAAAATCCTGTTTTTTCTTTTCAATTGTAAAGAAAAAATGAAAGAGGATAAGAAGTATGGTTACATTATGTATGTTTCATGATAAAATATACACTTACCTTTTCTTCTTCAGGCTTTCTCTTCTTACAGTGAACGATTGATACAGATAGATGTCTGGTTATTACGTGGTTACTATTGAAACTTTTTAATTCACTAAATTGTGTAAAACATTCTTTTTTTATAAATCTAAATGGCAACCTGAAAATTAATTTAAATAAATAATGTATTTAATTTAATTAATATTTGTAAGTAATCAATGTTGCTTAATTACCTTCGGAACAGCAGATTTTTGTACATATTTAGATTGTTTAGCGGTTTGACTCCTTATAATTAATAAATAGTAAATAAGATTATGTTTTCCTGTACAAACATACTATCAAGTAAGATATAATTATTATTTTATTCAGATAAACAATCACTACATGTTAATTATAATGTTTTTGTATAATATGAAAATGTTTTCATGAATTTCATAACCTGCATAACAAATATACTTAGATAACCTCAAAAGTAGTCCTGAATTCAAAATTGACAATTATGAAACCTGTTATCAAATGTCATTATTGGCAGTTCATTATTTTTGAAAAACTCGTAGATTAAGAATAAAATCTATTAAATTCGTGTTTTTCCTCGTTTTTTTTTCTGTTTTATATATAAAGTTAAAGAATCACAGTTTAAAACGTAGATTTTAAAAAATAAAATTGCTTTGCTTTATTTTACTATAATTATCATCTATTTTACATAAATTTCTTATCAACGGTATCCTAATTATTTTTTTAAATTTTGTTCTTTAAACTTTCAAATAAAAATCTTTTGTGTAATTTTATTCATGTTCAGAAAATATTATAGTAATTTCTGCTTGATTTATAAGTTAAAATGAAAAGAAATGGTGATATGATAAAAAAGTCAAATACCTTCATAGACAATTTCCAATAAAACTTAAAAAATTAAATCATAGACAATTACTATTTATGTCCGCCATTCATCCTTTTGAGTTGCTTTTTCGTTTTACGATTCCAAAAGAGCACAATTTGTCATTGAAGTCTACGCTACACCATCGCGTAAATAATTAACATAAGTAGTAACAGTTGAAGCAATAAAGCAAAAACGCAGGCATCACGGCCACCCGTTTAGTGTATAGGAGTGACGTGATCCATCCGTGAGATCGTATCATTCCCCCAATGATGCTTTTGCTTCCCTTTTACGTTATCGGTTCCGAAGTTGGTTTATGTGCCTGATGGTATGGAAACTATGTGCGATTAACAGGTAAAATATTGAGGACTCAGCATGGGGGCGTTTTTGAATAAGCCCGAAACTAAGAAATATAATGAGACTGGGGAAGGAAACGGTCTTCGCTATGGCGTGGCGTCGATGCAGGGCTGGCGAGTGGAGATGGAGGACGCGCATCACGCGCAGCTAACTTTGAATGGTACATTATCAGACTGGTCTTATTTCGCCGTGTTTGATGGGCACGCGGGTGCGCGGGTGTCGGCACATTGCGCGGACAACCTCTTAGAATGTATTCTTCAAACGGATGAATTCCGGCGTGAAGAGATAGCGGAAGCAATACGCGCCGGTTTCCTCGATTTGGACAAGAAGATGCGGGAGCTGCCGGAATTGTCGAACGGCGAAGAAAAGTCAGGTTCGACGGCGGTATGCGCGTTCGTATCGCCAAAGCAGATATATATAGCGAATTGCGGTGACTCCCGTGCAGTGCTGGCTAGAAATGGAATACCGATTTTTGCAACCCGCGACCATAAACCGGAGTTACCATCGGAGAAGTCGCGGATAGTTCAGGCGGGTGGTTCAGTGATGATCCAGCGCGTGAACGGTAGCTTAGCTGTGTCTAGGGCACTAGGAGATTATGAGTACAAGAAGGTTCAAGACCGTGGGCCATGTGAGCAACTGGTGTCACCAGAGCCTGAGGTCTCAGTGCATGAGCGTTCAGAGGCAGAAGATGAGTTTTTAGTGCTGGCCTGCGATGGAGTGTGGGATGTGATGAGCAATGAGGCATTATGTGCATATGTTCACTCATTACTCCAACTTACAGATGACCTTGTCGCTGTGACAAATCAGGTCATCGACACTTGCTTGTATAAGGTGAGTGATGGTCACAATATAGTTATATTTACTACTTCAGTCCTCCTGAAGTTTATGAATTAATAAAATTTCAATTACCCTATGTCTATCTATGTATTTACTGAATAGTAGTTTTCATGAGATACATGGTCACTACAATCCATTCACATTTTGATGAAGTTTGGTGTGGTAATAACTTAGTCCCTGCTTCAATATATAGGATATTTTTTAGTATAGACAAATTTCTCAATCGTATTAGAAAATACAAAAATTCTCTAAGTGAACTATATCAGAAGCAGCTAATCATTAATATGATAAGATTGCTTGTACAAAAATGGTATTACTATGTTGCTACAATAACATAATGATTAGATGTAAATATAATTTATAAATAGAACATCTGCAATATCTTTATGCTATGAATTTGTTACTTAGGTTGTAGTCCAAATGATGTAAATATGATAATGCAGTATTATAGTAGTGTTTATGTAACCTCTACTAAATATGTGGAGCTAGTTTCACTTATTACTAGTTGCACATAAAATCTATGATTTCACATAATGACTAGATCCATTTACATAATTTATATTGGCCAGATATACCTGCCAATAATTATGTTTCATTAAAATAACCATTTGTTTGTGCATTTGGTATTTGATTTCATAAAGATGAATATTTCAAAATACAAATTTGTGTATAGTACTAAATTGTAGGTGTATCTACTTGAAATTTTAGCAATGGTGAATAATTTCAATTGTTAACGAAACAAATAGAGACATATATAAAAGTATATAAATAGATGCCATTGAAACTCTTGGCACTTGGTTCTGCCTATCCTGTAAAGAATTTAGTGTGAAGATATCTATCATCAGCATTTATTTTATGAACTATGATTTTATAATTTTTAATGTTATAAGCTTTAATGTTTTTATCAATCAATTATCTATAAACCACAAGTTTCTCTATATGACTTTGGTTAAAAGAGTCTAGAGAGATCTAAGATATTGTTCATTAGTGTACCAAATGATATCAAAACTCATTTAGTTAAGTGATTAGGTACTTAATAAACATTTAACTTGTTCATACCCTGACTTACTTTACATACATACATCCTTTTACACAACCATATTTATCTAAATAAATAATGAAGTCATAATGGGAATGTGTGTGTGTGATATATGTATGTGGGCACACATGATCCTAAAACTAAGAAATAGATTTTGATGAAATTTCATCTATTATTCTACATGTATAATACTTTTTTATTACTTTGATAAAATGCCTTATTCCATTCAAATATGACATGTACAAAGTTGTGAGTTGAGTTAGTGTGTAATATTCAAGTAAAATCATTTTTATACATATGAAGTATATATATGTAAATGGTTTACTTGGATATTGTTGTATCAAACTTTGTTTTAAAGTGTCTTGTAGCTGCTAATTATTCAAAGGCCACAACTAAATATTCAAAACAAATTTTCATTTGCTTACATTTGTATTTAGTTATTGGTCAATTTATGAATATTGACTATATATTTTTATTCAGATAAATATAAGCAACTTTTTCCAATAGATGATTGTTATTTTACTTAACTAAAATATTTATACATGTTGATGAAATTAAATTTAAATGTGTCAACACTTTTTATGTGAAGGATGCAAGGTGTAACTAAAGATATACTAGTACTGGTACAAACTTAGAAAAGTTGCAAATACCAGGCTGCCTGACTATTATAGTATCTATGTGAACTTCTTATGGGGAGTAGGTTGAGTTTAATAAGACAAACATAAACTTAAAATGACAAATTTATATTATGATTATTATTCAATATTCAATTCAATCAAATTATATTTATTATATATTACTTACATCCTTACTATACTTATACAATTGTATCGTTGTGTTTGTAAATTGTCTTGCTTATTTCCTATATTGTATAATGCAAGTAAAGTATACTCATTCATTCATTTATTATATATGTAATATTTATTAAATTCCATAGCATAATTATCATTATATTAATTGAATATTTTTTAAATACCTTTTTATGGATGCACATATACACATACAAATTATCTGGGTCTTGGTTAGATTTTTAAAGAATTTATTTATAGCATAATTGTAAAATTTTTGGAAAAGTATTGAATTTTATATATTAATATTATATTTATAGTAATTCTCTGAAGATGACAGGAAAATTAGATATAGTAAAAACTATGAAGTTTTAAATACTAAATTATAAAAAATTTACAGGGTAGCAAAGACAACATGAGCATCGTGTTGGTAGTGTTCCCAGCGGCACCGAAGCCCAGCCCTGAAGCCCAGCGCGCGGACCGAGAGCTGGACGAGACGCTCCGACAGAGGCTCACAGGTTGCTATCATTCACTATTGCATGCCTGCTCATACAAGTATAGGGATAGATACACAGCACAGTCGGAGAGACAGAACGGATCTATAGAGTCTAGTCGAAGTACAACATACGATGCTCGTGGTTAGATTAATAAGGTACAAACAAGGTAATGGAGTAGATTTCGATGAACCGTTCTCTATTTCTTAAAATTAAAATTTCATTTTGATGTTATAGGAAAATTATTGTTCTAAAGACCAGTATAAAATAACTGCTTTATTCATAAAAACTAAAAACTTGTATAAACCTATTCTAACTATTACACTGCTTTGTCACTTTCTTTCAAATTGGGAATTTAGCACGAGGGAATGAGACAAAACATCTCAATAGCCATAACAGGTTTATAAGTGGTTTGACGTTTTTATGACTATGTAGGGTAATATTTTTGCTTGTCGATGGTTTGCAACTATAATAGTTTTCTAAACTCAGTGGTGTAACTACCGGAAGGCTAGACGAAGCAGTGCCCTAGGGCACTCAGGTTCAGGGGCTTCCTGGGACTCTAACTTACAAACTATAAGTTGAACTAGTGAAAATTTCTCCTACATTCGGAATATAAATAAACCAGATTCCAAAAACGTGACTTTAAAATGGAAACTTATTTGAAAGACATCTTTATTTGAAATTTGCGGGGAACTACCCTGTATACTTAGGCTGGTTTATTTTTTGCCTCAGGGCCTTTGGTTACCTATTTACGCCACTGACTAAACTATCAAATTAAAATTGTAGTTTTAAAGATAAGCTTAGGAAATGGTACCTCGGAATCGGCTTCGTTGTTAGTACCAAACATAGGTTTCTTTGGATAGTATGTTTTTTGTGATTCACCTGGTTATACTTTGCCAACTTTGTGCACTTTGCTCCATAACGTTGATAATGTGATGCGGAAAGTAATATGTATGATTGCCCTAATGTACATACATAAATTTTTTCCTTTGTGCTGTGTGTCAAGGCGCAGGAGCGCTACGCACGACGTTGTAAAATTAACGAAAACGTCAAATAGCATTTCTGAAGGCAAGAAAACTATAATGTTTCATTTAAGTTAAGGTAATCGTCAATAGCAGGGCATTTAATGCCTTGGACAATGGACATGGTACAATCTGTTATGTCCATCTTGTTTATGTATATTTGATTTAACGCTTTCAACTTGCTGAATTTATTTGGCATTCCCAGTATTGCTTCTTTAGACAAGTTGTAAATGTTTTTTTTTTAAATGTATGATAATGGAATGATTACTCCGAAGCTAACGATACATACGCTGGTGGAGTACCAGCGATGATAGTTGAGGAGGAAAAGGCAGTGCAGTTAGTCTATCATGGTGAATTCATCTGAAATTAACCACGACGGTTTTCAGGGGGACCTGACAGGGCATATTGTTATCAATGGGACTGATAATCCCCATTACTAACAATTTCTTTGCCTCGGTGATAAATGGTAATATGTTTTTGTTATCACGTACATAAGATAGAATAAGTTAGGTATTGCTGTCAAGTTCTGTCTCATGTAGGTGGTAGCGAAAATGTATCTACTGATAGTTTCGTTTACTACTTGTCTAAGGAGGTAGTTTTTGTAATTTACGCGTGCGTTTGACTGTTACGTGTGGAGGTTTGGTCAAGTTGTGATAGTGTGTTGTACTATGTCAGATATGCACACTATTACAATTAATACGTACATATCTAACCACAAGTAAAGTCTATACGCGCTTGTGAATTCCAATAAATTTAAAAATATAAAATTTAAACAACGAACCCAGTTTATACCTAGTCCCTGTCTTCCGGATACAGTTATTGTCTTTCTTCTTTGTCTCCTTTAGTCTTCATACAAAATATTAAATAAACACTGTAGTAGTTCATACAGGATTAAGTTTATAGAACTATTTCGAAAGCCAACAAGAGGATTTATAAAACTGAATTTCTGCCTAAAAAATATAGTACAAAAATGAAAATAATTGAAATATCATAAATGCATCGCGTGCCGTAAAATTAATCTTTATCTTTTGACTATTTTTATTAGAAAATAGTTTTCAATTTTACAACTAAACTAAGTATCAGGTTTCACTTTTTGACCCTGTTTTATTATACAGGCAAATTAAAACCAAAGTTAAATGTAAACAAAGCATGAGGATTTCATGTAGTTATTAATGGTGTGTTACCAACATAGACGTATAAGTAATAAAATATTTTTAACGTTTCATACAGGTTGACTTTAAGTGTTTCTACAAGAAAATTCCATTCTTACCTTATGAATTTATTAAAAAAAATATATTTTTTTTTAATTTATCTCTAAAAATATAATTATTCATTGTTAAAAATCAACGGAATCGTATATAATATCAAATGTATTAGCATAATGAATACTATAGTACACTTGTGTACACATTTTTCAAGGTTTAGGTGTTTGAAATAAAATAAAATTCATGTACCTATTACAAATTGATAATTGTGGTTGCGTGTTCTGAATGTGATTAATAAGAAATTATAATAAATATTAAAAAAAAAAAATGAACTGTCACTTTTTAGTGTTCACTAATTATATTTGGGGGTACTTAATGTTACGTGTAAATAATATAGGTACAGGCTTCGTTGACCTCAGTCTATAGTGCCTGACAGAAATCATCGTTAATATTATAATGTTCGATGATTTTATACTATGATGACTATTGATTATATCATAATATGTCATTACGTCATCAAAATTAGCCAGTGGCTTAGTTACGTACATACGTACACCTGAGTAATAATAAATGTCCAGTAAAATACGAATTTAGTCACTACTTTAATTTGCTTTTTTTTTTTAATATATTAACCGTGTACTGGTTAAATACGGTTTCTATTTCCATTTTCATTCTAATGTCCAATTGGATTAAAATTAATTATTTGTTCACTTAACATAACTGTTGCACTACACAAAAATACGAAGATTCTTATGAAAATTTGCTTGCCAATATAAAAAAATATATATATATATTTAATTTTAGTAATAAAAGTGAGAAATAATAAATACCAATTTATCTTATTTTTTTTTTATAGTTCTGTCATAAAATATCATAGTAATACTAGTTACCTTTTTATTATTATTTTAGTTTGTTGTTGTACTTGTTATACCATCATGGGAACTAGATAGTCAATTTTTCGTCTATTTGTTTAATTTTCAAACCTAAATGGCTTTACCAATTATAATGCAAATTTGTATAAAGAAAATCGAACTCTAGTGACGGCCATAGGCTATTTTTTTTTTAAATCATACAACCAAAATTTCTTAGATCGTTTAAACGATTTTTTAAGGCGATTAATATAATTAAGATCCGTAAATTGTTATACCTGTCCAATATGTCATAATATATATATATATATATATATATATATATATATAATTATTATGACATATTGGTATATTTTGTACAAAGTTACATCAATTATACCTATTAATTTAGTTCAATATAAGTTATTATAATTTAATTATAAAATATTTAATATTTATTTAATGGAAAGATGATGTTGTGGTTTTTATACAATTTTCCTATATTACCGACTGTGGAATGTGGAATGATGATTAATATTTGAGCCCAGTAATCTAAATAATATTAAGACATAGAAATGTGATGTAATAGTACATATTTATTATTACCAATGATAAGTCGATCACTGAACTAAATGATCAGCAATATGGATTATGCACACAGTATTTTAGCGCGTGCCCCGTTTGTTAATTCTCATACATTGTTAGCGGCGAGGCGTAGTTATACATAAAAATGTTATTAATAACATAATGTGATCAGCATAAATATCATTAGATAAAACATGTGGATTATCTCATGTAGATGGAAATAAGTGCGACTTGTTTTTAAAGTAGTCAAATTCAAAACTTAATGCACCGGCTGAGTGCTTCCTTGAAGGGTAGGCGAGTATCACTCATAGAATTGTCAAACGTCTCAATATAAAACTTAATAAATCCTATTGGTTAAGCGTCTTATTCGCTAAATATCTCGATCGCTAAACGTCCTATTTGCTAAAGGTTATTTTCGCTAAACGTCCTATTCGCTAAATGTTCTTTTCGTTAAAGGCCATGTTCGCACACAAAAAAGATATAGACGTCAAATATTCCTATAAGTCAAACGTACCAATACAAAAATTAATAAAAGTCCTATTCATTAAACGTCTTATTCGCTAAAGGTCCCGATCGCTAAACGTCCTATTTGCTAAAGGTTATTTTCGCTAAACGTCCTATTCGTTAAATGTTCTTTTCGTTAAAGGCCATGTTCGCACACAAAAAAGATATAGACGTCAAATATTCCTATAAGTCAAACGTACCAATACAAAAATTAATAAAAGTCCTATTCATTAAACGTCTTATTCGCTAAAGGTCCCGATCGCTAAACGTCCTATTCGCTAAATGTCCTTATTGCTAAGGGCCATATTCGCTAAAGTCCGTGTTCGTCGTTCGTTTCTATACGTTATCTGTACGTGTTAACGTGTTTACCATAGCTCCCGTTCATTAAGCATTCGATTTATGAAAAATTTGCAATAAAAAAATATAAAGACAATATAACCAACTGACAAAATGATCCGACTTGAACACAAATCTTATGACGCTCGTAAATAATTAATCGCCGATCGATTATACTACAGTGCATTAAATATAACATTAAATATCCATATACACGTTTGTATGAATGGTTATAAAATACTTTTTTACATATCAGCTATTAAAGAGGTTACCTCGCATGCGGAATGGCTTAGTTGCGGAAAAAATCAAGCGAAGCCTTACCATAGCAACATATTTGCGACTGGTTGCATCATAACCTACTAATCGACTAACATTTATTCTACCAAGCGTTGCAAATAGACGCTGCAACTGCATGTATGCACTAACGTATTTGTTTTTGGTCCTAAAATAGATTCATTAGAGCCTAACTGACCTCGGTTAAATTTCTATCACGGATTACTACGTTAAATTTTATTGAAAAGTTT